GGCTGTGAATTTAATTGTTTTTACTATGAATAATTTAAATGAAATTTAGGTAGTAAATATATATATATATACAAATATGTTATATATTATAAATTACAAAATTATAATATAAAACGAAATAATATAGTAAATCATCATATTTGACAATAATTATAACTTTTAAGTTTGTTTATATATATTTTATATTATAAACAATTATAATATTTTTATCATAGAAATCCTTTATACAACGTACGTATAAATATTATATGTGATGTATATATGTAATCCTTGATTACATTTAGCCGTGTTCTCATCAATGTTCTCCAGAGTCAAGATAATGATTTAAGTATCGTTAATCTTTTACCTGTCCTTAGGATCTGGATCTCTAAATTTCAATCTATTCTTCTCACACATGTTAAAAGAGAATGTAATCAAACTGCTGATGTGTTTGCTAAACATGGACCCCCAAACTCAGATGCCTTCTTGGCTAACCAACATTCTGTATCTCGACTGTAGCCCCTTTTAATCAATAAATATGTTTGCTAACAAAAAAAAAAATGTGTAAATTTTATGCTATAGAAATTTTGATTTCCATAGCCAATATATTTCCTTTTAAAAAACTTTGGCTGTAGTTTTCTTTTCTAAAGCTACAAATTGATAGATTTACATTTAATCTGTAGAAAGAAAAATGGTTGTCTACAGCTTAAACAGTTAATCCTAATCAACCACTTAATAGATTATATATATACCAATCACTTATGTCTCATAAAAAAAAAAAAACAAATAGACACTACGACCATATAGCAATCTCAAAACATTATTGAAAAAGACATGGCAGCATCAAAGGCAACATTACTCATTGTTTTCGTCACACTCCTTATTTCATGTTAGTGTCTTCTCTCTCTATATACCACAATATATTTTACACTGAAATTTATATTGATTATATATATATATATGTTATATGATTGAATGAATGTATAGGTGTGCCGATATCAAATGCAAGAGAAATGATGGTACGCCCACAAAATGTAATGTGTATTGGTCCTAAAGCATGTGCACCGTCGAATCAATATTTTGGGGTTTGCTTTAAAGATGAAGATTGCCACAACAGTTGTTTTGAATCATGCGTATATCAAAAATGTCAGGAGCATATATGTATTTGCGGACAATGTTAGAAACGATGCGCTTTGCATTTTTTAAGGTTACAACGAACAAATTAAATTTATTAAAACAAGTTTGACGTTAGAATAATAATTAGAAAAAAAAAAGAGTCGTGTCTTTCAATCTCTCTTGATGTGTTTCAAAAGCTACAGATTATTTATGTGTTTAATAATAAACGATTTTTTGTAAGGATATCGGATAGAGATGTATAAGTTGTTTACATCTGATTTTTTTTTTTTTGGGTGCAAATTTTACATCTGAACTTAAGTCAACGTAATAGGTAAATTTATATATCCAAATAATAACTCGAGGAAGCGGAAATGAGTTGACGCACATGGTGAAGAAAGAACAACTAATTTACTTATTGTTATGATGATGATGAAAGATTATGAAACTTGAATGTGAAATGTATCAATTATGGTGCATGTAACTAAATATATAGTGACCCTTTTTCAAAAAAAAAAAAACTAAATATATAGTGGTGGTGTAATTAATGGTAAAATGTTCAGGAACATATTGTTCAAAAAAAAACAAAAAATGTTCAGAAACATAGCGTAAACTATTTTTTTTTTTATGAGTTCGAATTTAATTGGAATTATTGATTAGTTGAATTGGCTCTATGCTTTAGATCAGTTAAAATATTTGGTGAGTAATTTATTCAGTGGTATACGTTTAGCATGAGTGTAAAAAGCCAGATAGCTATCAATAGTTATGAGTTATAACATGAGTGATTTCATTTAATAGGACTTTAGAGAGAGGAATTTAGTTAACTAATGAAAATATAGTTTCAGTTATATAGTTGCATAAAAATTAAATGAAATCTTATTTTTTCAATTGATATTGGTAGATAGCTCTCAAAATAAGTTCAGTAGAAGTATGTTAAAAACAAAATATTAAATTTTCAGATAAATATTAATTAAAATTATATTTTAAAGTAATATTGATAACTACCTATTTTCTAAAGATATACTTCTATATGAAACAAAAATTCAAATTTAAAATAAACAAGAAGACTATAATTAAAATTTACTATTGAATTTAGTATTTTTTAAAATGATTTTAATACTGAAATTAGTGTGATATCTCATATGTAGTTGATGATGACTTTTTTTTATTCTAAATCAAACAATTAATGTGCTGGCTACCTTTCATTTCTAACCATTAATTTACTTTTCCTCTGCATTTTATTCTTCTAAATTACTTGTTTTGTAAAATTATTCCATTTATTTGGCTTTTTTCTCTATTAGTCATTGGTATTTGAGAAGACATTTAATTTTAAAAACATTTGATGTGTCAAAATGAGAAGATATGTTAATGAATTATAATGGTTATCTGAAATTATGATATGTCAAATTTCCTAAACTAAATAAAATATTTAAATTAATTGAGCTAAATTTTAATAAATTATAAAATTAAAACATAAATACACTATATTATAACATTAACATTAATAAATTTAAATTAACAAAAAAATGATAGTTATTATGATTTCAATTTTTTTTTACATATTCATAATAGATTATATAAAATACTATGATTACAAAACTTTTACAACCAATATACATTATATATTTACATAGAAAAAGATTTTAAAACAATTATCAAATAGTGTAATAAATACTCTATATATTATTAATGTTAGGAGTATGATATAATATTATTTGTAAATATTTTTTAAAATTTTTATATTGCTATTTTCTGTAAATCTAAATAGCTTCTATTATCATCTCATTTTATCTCTTATCTTTTTTTTTAAAAAAAAAAGAAGTTTATATTATACTCATATACAATCTTATTAGAGATTAAGAATTTTTGAGATCAGATATAAAATATAAAATAACCAGATAAATAAATAAATTATAATAAGATAAGATGAATAAGAAATAGAAGTGAAGATTAAAATAAATCTCAACAGTTTTATTTTTACAGTAAAACTATCGTACTTCTTTTTAAAGAGTCATTTAAAAAACTTTAGGAAGCAAATTTTATAATAAATGTATGTGTGTGTCAAATTATATAATCAATACATGCATGCAGTCCAATCATAAGAAATTTATATTCTTGATCAAACCAATTCATCAATATTGGACGAAAAGATGAGCGGAGAGCTATTAGAAAATTTTATAAAATATGATTTTATAAATTTTATAAAATATGGCTTTATAAATTTTATAACAAATATTTATTATAATTTTTATTGTGAGGTAAAGTTAATAATAGATTATCTACTGTACTATATTTATTTCCATGACAAAATCAAATATTATATTTTGATTTAGAGAAAGCTTTTTGTAATTTTTGTTAATATTTAATATAACTTTTAATTTGAAACAATATATAAAACGCTGAACTTTATTTTTTTGATTAAATACAAATGATAGAAACGGTTTTCATGATTGTTTTTAAATCCCAAAAATTGCATCGTGGATAAACATAATGTTTACGAAAAATATCAGAAAAACTAACCAACAACTAAATATTACAATTCACTTATTTCTAACCTATATTTACATGCATAAATATACATATTTATTTACTTTAATTTAATTATATATTATAAAAATATATATTACAAAATATATATATTTTGTTATTTTTTATAATACATAAAAACCATACTTTGATTTTCTCACAAATATGTTTGTAGATATCAGTATAAATTATGCAAAAGTCGAAGTCACATACAAATTTGTCGTGCTTGCATTTTGTTAACATCTATTATAGTCTTATTTTAGTTGTAGTTATTAAACAACTTATATTTTTCTAAAAGTATTTGTGTCCTAAAAGCGATAAAGTGGTTGGTACGCATGAATATGCGGATCAACCATCTACCCTTTTTTAAGACAAGTAAAGATGATAAAACTTATTTTTGTTTAACTAGCAATAGGTCAAAGAAAAAATATCATACTTAAAAAATATATATATATATATATATATATTGGAAAGATTATATTGTGTAAGAGGAAAATAAAGCATAATATAGATAATATTTAAAACATATTATAAAAATTTAATTATTTTTTAATATAACTTTTATATTTGTAATTACATATATATCACTGTAAATGGTAGAAATTTTTTTAAAAATAAATCAGTTTCAAAAGGTACAAAACAATATGAAACGTTTATGTGATTGTTATTAAACACTAAAATTGCATATGTATACAATAATAACTTTTATAAAATATATAAGAAAATTTATCAATATTTTAAATATTACAACTAAGTATGTTACTAAAAAAAAAATATATCGACATATATGTGCGGGCCAACCAGCTAGTTAAATTTATAAGAGTATAATGAATTGTGTTGTATTGATATGATGAGATTATCTAATTATAAACTCCCTCTACTTTTTTATATTTGATGTTTAAGGTTTTGCACATAGATTATGAAGTTATTTAAACTTCTTTTTTCTAAAATAAAATATCAATTCCAAAACAATTCAATCAATAGAAAAATAATATGTAGAATTTAAACAGTTATGTTTTGCATTAATTTTTGAAAACATCATTTAATTTTGAATAAAAAAAACTTTTAAAACATCTTATAAAAAAACGGAGGGAGTATATTAGAGTTACAAGAATCATGTAATAAATAAGAACAATATATCATGGAGTGATTGTAAAGATTGAGTGATTGTAGAAACTGATCTTTCCTTAATAACTGGAACCAGCATTTTGATAACTGGAACCAGCATTTTATCAGATTACATACCATTGTTTACGGCTCATATACTATAGATAGAGACTAAGATCCTATAAGAATCTCAAACCAAAATCATAAAACATATAGATCGTTTTGTTTTTTTGTTGTTGAAACCATATAGATCGATTTAAGAATTAAAAAAACACATGGCAGCATCGAAGACAACAATGATGATTCTTCTCGTGGCAGTCATTTTCTCATGTTAGTCTTTTCTCTCTCTCTCTCTCTCTCTCTCTCCCTGTCCCATACTTACTTTGAAATTTGAATTGAGTGATTATATAATCAGATCGAATGTATGTATGTAAATAGGTGTGTGGATATCAAATGCAAGGAAAGTGATGAAACATCAACGAAATGTGGAGTGTGTTGGAACATGTTCACCGACGTCGAGGCATCTAAATCAATACTTTGGAAGTTGCTTTAAAGATGAAGATTGCTTAAACAGTTGTTTTCAGTCTTGCAAATCTCTAAAATGTACTAATCACGAATGCATCTGCGGAGACTGTTGATTTGATCTTAAAAGAAAAAGAAAACCAATTCTTGTTTTTATTGATTCATTGTAATAGCCTACCATTTCATTTCTTATTGCTTCTTTTAAGAATTGATTTTTTTTTTTTTTGGTAAGGAATAAAGAGGTAAGCTACATATATATTGGATATCTAAACCTATCATAGTATTGTTTTGCCTTTCTCGATCTCTAAACTCTAACAAATGAGCTGACGAGTCGTGTGTAACCTTGTAAAACCCTTGAGAGCTTCCATTAAATGTGCCTACAACGTGAAATGTAGTAAAACTTGCTGCTTTTTATTTTGTTTTTGTTACCACGTTAAACAAAACTACATTTTGCATTAATTGTTATTGGAACTCAAGGCTTGAAATATTCAAAGATTTATCATAACGGAGAATATAGGAACCAATAATTGTTCATTCAAATTCCATATGCTATAAAATTTGGTTAAAAACCCCAAATAAAATCCGCAGAGTAGAGATTTGAGAGACTAAAGGGTTATAAACCAACAGCTTCCAATATAACAAGTCAAAAAAACAATGCTTCCAGATTTGGATATCATCAATCGGGAAGACTCAGATGATGATGATGATGATGGTGGTGGTGGGAGACACTTACACATTCTCTAATCCTTCTTCTTGTTGAAGGCTCCTTTAGGGATTTTGCTCATCACCTTACTCAAAACCTTCTCATCGAGCACCGCGTACTGCTTCTTGATCTCCTTCATTGCCTTTTCACCAAAGTCATCTACTTTATCCTCATACTTCTCGTAAAGCACGGGAACGGTGAAGAGAATCACAGTTACTGAAATCAGAGAGAACAGAGGATTTGATATCAGAAAACACATCAAAAAGGGTGATTTTTACTGGACTTGATTCAAAAAAGAGGTATGGATTGTTACCGATATAGACTAAGGTCAAGAAGTTGCAAGAGCTACCAACTTTAGACAAAACCCACAACCCAGCAATCACCTAAACACACATTTTAAGAGCCAATGATAAAATAAAGAGAAACCAGTAATCTAAACAACAGCATAATTAACAAAAAAAGGCTTACCAATAGAAACTTCTTGAGATCTCTTCCTGATGCGATGTCCCTAAGAATAGTGAAACCACGATTGATTTCAATTCTTAGTCCAGAAGCGATCTGGAGAACAATTTCCTCGGGGATGTGAACTTCCGGGATATGAGGAGGCGTCCTGTAACGCGAAAAACCAGCTGCTTCACCAGGGCCAATTGATTTACACCAATCTCTCACTAAAGATCAAACAATCAGAGCCAACAAAACTTACTTGTGAATGAAGGCAGTAGCACTAGACCACAAGAACAGTACCGCAAGAGCAAGAATCGAAACGTGGCCGAAAAGAGTGAGGAGGTTGTACTCAAGCAACTCGAATAGGATCCAGGATACAGTTGCAGCTCCCAACACTCCTCCTGATACCTTCTTGTTCCTCCAGAGGAAAATGTCGGCAGCTGAATCAAAAAAACCAAGTGAAGCCAAAAAAAAAATTAAAGATTATGAGCTTACGAAATCATTCATTCCACAGATCCTCTCAAATTCCAGAAGCAGGTGTGTAATTTCTATACCAGTAAGCAACAAATCAAATCGTTCGTTTTAAGTACTTCTCGTATCCTGATTTTCTGAATATATACTCAACCCAAGCAACAAAACTAAACTTCGACATCTACATCACATTAACTTGAGAAATCCTAGGCTCAATCAAGCAAGCATACAGCAAAACATCACACTCGATCCAAGGGAAAAAAACTAGAATCCAGATCCGATAAGAAAACGTATCTAACACCGCTAATCGGAAAAGTAATTGGTGACACCTCGAAGTAAGACCAAAGCGGAAATAGAAATCGAGAAGTAGAAACAACAAATCAAAAACTGGAAGAAAAAAAAAACGGAAAAAAGAGAGATCCATACGTTTTCCGCCGCCGAAAACCTTGTGAACAGGCTTCTCTCTTCCAAAAAGGCGGTAGATCTTCGTCTTGATAGTCGATTGAGACGAAGATTTCTTCTCGTCATCTGAATCGGAGGAAGACGACGACGAGCCATCGTGACCGTGGATCTTCTCAGCTATCTTCTCCATGATCGATTCCTCGTGTTTGTGCTCTTCCGCCATTATAACTTCCTACCTTGAAACCTCCGCAAAAACCCTAAAAACTCTGTCTGCTTCAGAAAAGGTGAGTGAGAAACGGAGAAGAAAATGGTGAGAATCTTCCTTTAGTCACCTTAATAAGAGCGTTTGATACAGATTCAATCTCACCCGTCGATATATTATACTCAATCGTGACCGTTTGTGTACTGAGCAGGTAAAAACAATTCCACGTTGGAAATCAATAACTTACTTTCGGGAAAGAAAAAAAAAACATCTTTGAGACGGAAGACAAACGACCGTTAAATTTGTTAATCAAGCTTCCAATCCTACTAACGTTCCCGTTAGTGAAGCGTTAAATGTCAACACGTGGAGAAGGCATGGGCTTTGATACAGGCTGTATCATACAGGGGTTCAAAGAACAACGTCTACGGATATAAACCCGTTCGATTTGGGCTTTGAAAGAATTTTTAAGGGAAAGCCCAAAAAGGAAAAGCGAAGATATAGAAAATACAGCTATTTTGTTTCGTTTTACTAATTAAAGAAATTACTAATTGAAAAACAAAAACAGAAATTACTAACTAAAGAAATACAGACAGATAAAATTATAGAAAAAAATCTTTAAAAAACATACAAAAGACAAAATGTTGGTACACAGAAGAAAAGAAATCTCAAATCTTTAATTTTGTGGATTAACTCTATATACTATTTTGTTCACTCTATTTCGTTATGGTAAATATCCAGTGACAAGATATTCAGATCTTGATATGAGAAGAAGAGAGGATTTGTGAAACCAATTTTTTTCCCTATAAAACTAAAAATGTTTATTCTTCAAAAGAAGAATACTAGCTAAGTAGAATCAAGTCTTGAAATAAAAAGTAAAAACGAAGTCTTCAAATAAACTATAAAAGTTATATTTTTTCACGTTCGGTTACTACTTGTTGAAGATACTTTAGTTTTTGGTGAATTGAATACAGTATTAGTCGGGGAAAAACGACTAGAAATTGAACCAACTGAATCATTATGAATTTAGTCTTTGTCGTAGGTTAAATAGTGTGCGACCAAATAAATACAGTATAATCACTGTACACATCCATATTAATTAATTTGGTCACTAAACTTAAGTGAACAGAAACATGCTCTTTATCCTGTTGCTGCTATAAGCCTATAATTTGATGCTTTATGCATCTCATACTCATATGTATTGTTATTATTCATGTAGGGCAAAATCTAATTGTTGTTATTAATCTAATAACATTGCTTTTCTTTTCTTTATTTTTTTTTAGTTTCTAATGTGCATTTAAATATACGTTTTTGGACCATATTAAACATTTTTCAAAACGATATTATATGTTAGCTCCTACTCCATATTATACACATGTGAATCTAAAAAAAAGGTTTGTAGCTAGCTGCTAGCCAAATCAAATCTCTAGGGCTTACTATTACTATATCATGCCAAATAAATTACCCGACAAGATCGGATTTTCTTAGGGTAGTAATATTCTTCTTGTGATTAACAGGATAAAGAGAGCATATATATGTTATATCTCATAGTATAAGTGTCTGAAATTATTTGGGATCAACATTTAATTAAAATAGATTATTCACTTAATCATTGAGTTGGACGGAAATAGCTAGCAACGCAGCGTTTTTCTTTGACCAACAATCATAAATTTTTGTCAAATTAGTTGGAAACCTGGAGTCACAAATTTGGATCACTATAATCAACGAAAAAAATTATAACGATTATAACTTTCTTGGAAACAAAAAAAAAACTATAGGCTTAATCATTTATAATAGCACATATTTATCATTTATTTATTTATCTATTTCTTTTTGTGTATCCTTTCCAATTTAGCAACATAAAGAGTAAAGACCACACAAATATTACGAAAATAAACATTACGATTACACCGCATAATATTTTTTTACGAATCAAGATTCATTTTTGTTTTCGATTGAAAATTTTGAACTAAACTTCGTCATTGTTGTTTCCAAAACAAATAAACACAACTAATTATTTTTATGTTTATATCTGGACCGGACCTCTAGCTAGTACCACAAATAAACTTTTCAAAATTGTTCGTACTTGATCCAGTTATATTTTTCTACACGATTCTCAAAGTTTCATATGCAAATTCTGCAAACAAAATTACTATATAATCATGTATCAATCTCGATCAACAACTTATATATAACGACTACTTTATATTTGGAGGAAATCCACTTAAAGCTGATTTTCAGGAAGCCTATCAAACAACAAGAGATCGACTAGCTTCTTTGACTTGCTTTTGAAAGTGCTTTGTTCTTTTGAATTTAATAAAGCGAATAAGGAAAAAAAACCCTTTTTTATTCTAAGAATGTGTCTCATTTGTAGTATTATTATTATTTTTTTTTGACAGCCATGTGTCTCATTGGTTTATCTGAAAATTGAAGCTCCATATAAATTTATTTAATGAAGCATTGAATAAAAACTTCAACCAGAAACGAATCTATATAACATTGAAAAGATAAATCTATTAATGCAGTATTAATGAAATCGAACCGATCCCATGAATCGGATGAAATGAATCTAAAAAGTAAATGGAGTAGAAAAATAAATCATACGGAATTTACGTAACACGTATAGAGTGTAAAAGCCCATATTCATTACTGAATTTGGGAACTTTAGGCCCATTAAAAAAAAGAAGGATAGTGCGACTTTCTTTTGGATGGTAATGGGACTTTGGGGTCCACATCTAGTAAATCCGACGGTCTAAAATTCTCGCTATATAATGATGGTGTTAATATTTAATAATACGTCTCGGAACTACACACAAACTTTACACATACAGTGCATATATATAGTATACAAATCTATATATAAAACATTATCCAGATTCTTTAAGAATCAGTTTGGTTATAAAAATATGTTTTAGACGACGACACCATCAATTTTGTCGATTCCCATTGATTAGTGAAGTTATAATATGTAAAAATGTGTCGAAACTTCATACTCTAGCTGCAGAACATGATGCAGTTCAAAAAGAATATAACAGACAGTACCAATAAAACAAATACCCACGATAAAAATAAAAATCGATGGTGATTTTTAAAAACTGTAACTAAACTCTTTCTATACCCAAAAATATTAAATGACAGAAATAAAGTGTTTGTGTGTCAAATTATTAGATTCATAGAAGTAGAATTTAAACAAACTAAAAACAACAATACATGCAAATATCAAATATCTGTCTTTAGCGTTAGACAGACTTATTTATGTTACAAAAACGGTTGTACTGTGTAACTGTTATCAGTGTTTCAGTTATGTCAATGGTAATCAAGCTCAGTATTATGTTGTAAAATTGCATTAATTTGTGTTTCAAAAATGCGTTTTTTTATCATTAAAAGTAGTGGAAGAAAAAAAAAGAATTATTGTTTATTATGGATGTGTACTATGTAGATGAAGTAGAAAATAAAAGAGTACGTATGTATACTTTAATGATATCTGACCTTTTGGTCTGACTGTCCCAGTCTGAAAGTCACGTGACTTACCTGCTCCCTACGCTTAGCTACTCGCTTCGTATATGCAATTTCTTTGCCACGTTTTTCTCTTATTCATCTCTTTTGGCTCTGCCTCTTTGTAAAAATAAGGAAAATACATAGTGAATTTTCAATATACTATTAAAACACATGACAGATATAATTTGTTCTGTTGTGAATATATGTATTCATCAACAGCATCCAAAGCTTGTTTTTTACCGACCCAAATCGAATTTATGACCTTCAAATTTTCTGTGGCGTAGAAACTGATGTATATACTCCACTAAGATAGTTTAAGGCTTTTGATCAAGAAAAAGAATTATTAATGTTCTGTTTCTTAATTTTTGTTTTCAACTCTGAAACCAATAAACTTACAACCAAAACTTAAAGAGTGATGAGTACCAGGGACTGATTTTCATTGAATAGTAAACACAAATTTGAAACTAATGTAGTCCATAATTTAATGTTCCCACATAAACATGTAAACAAAAGTACCATATCAACAAATGAACAGTTATAGACTTGTAAGTATGTGACAACGTGAATTAGCATTTTAGCGAATAGTGTTTGAGTTCTTTTGTCATACCATTACTTTTGGTTACAATTGTTTCACAAAATTGGCAAGTAATAGCAAAATATTGAACTTATCTCTATCTAAAAAAAGAAGATATATTACTTAATGATTTCTAGAGAGAAAAAAAGACGATAAATAAATTAATATATTTATTTCTTTATTTACCACTTTTATATTTATAGCTTTCACTCTTCTCTTCCAAGCTCCACCGTAAACCCTTCTTTTCCTCTCAAACTTCTGTTACAGAAAGTAAAAGGAGAAAAACCTTGAAAGCTTTGAAAACGCAGCGTTTTTGAAAGGCTGACTATTCTGGCTTTCCCTACCATGGAAGCTTTCAGTCTCCTTAATTACTGGAAAAACAGTGGTGGTGTTTCCTCAGGCCTCAGCTTCCTCCCTCAAGCCTCCGATTCCTCTTGCCGTTACTCCGGCGAAGCCACTACCATTGTCACCTCCGTCTCTGTGACGGAAACAGATGATGAAGCCGCCGACGACGACGAAGGACCGTTCTTCGATCTCGAGTTCGCTGTACCAGTGGAAGAGGAAGAAAGTGAAGACAGCAACAAACACGGTGAAGTTCCCGAAGATGACGGCGGAGGAGGAAGAAGAGGAGAGGGAGATTCCGATTGTACGGACGGTGGTTGTGAGTTCAAATTCACGCTCTCGTCGTGTTCCGGCGGAGAAGATCGAGTAGATCCAGACCTTCAGTTCTCTCCTTCCGACGATGTTTACTTCAAGGGACAGATTGTGGAGGAGGTTGAACCACCGTGTACCGGAACAGAGCAGACCTGTTCCGTTAAAGCTCCGGCGGCGCAGTTATCGGCGTCGATTTTGAAATCCGCTACCAAGCTCCGTGTACTCATGCTCGGCATGAAGAAATCGAAGCTAATCCAGGCGAAATCGGAAGCTAGTTTAGGATCTGGAGACTCCGACAATCAAAATCGACCTTCTTCTCCTTCGTCGCAGCCACCGTCTCAGTTGCCGGAATCTCAACAGAAAAATACGGTGACGGTGAATTTAAAAGTTGAAGAAGTGCCAATAATTTCTCTTTTCACAAGAGACAACAGCTCGAGAAACTCCTCATCGTCGTCTTCTTCTTCGTCTTCCTCCTCGAAGAAGCAAAACGGCAACGAATCCGTCGTTTCTGAAGAAAACCGTTTCGTGATGATGCAAAAGTACCTGAAGAAGGTAAAGCCGCTTTACATCCGTGTTTCGCGCCGGTACGGCGAGAAGCTTAAGCACTCCGGCCAGTTAACATTCGGCTCGTCCGCACAGTCGGCTAGACCCACGGCGGAGAAAGCTGAATCTCCGGCGACGAAGACGCATAAACCGGGGAATATCAACATCAACATTCCAGCAGGTCTTAAAGTAGTGAGGAAACATCTCGGAAAAAGCAGATCCTCATCGTCGACGACGACTCCGCCGTCGTCTTCGGCTACGACTGTTACGACGCCGTCTGAGTCAAGGAGACGCGACGACTCGCTTCTGCAACAACAAGATAGCATTCAAAGCGCCATTTTACACTGCAAAAGATCCTTTAATTCCTCTCGAGGTATAAATTAAAATCTCCATTAACAGTTAACGTCTAAAATTTCTTCTTCAAATCTAATCTTCATTAACAATTTCTTTGGCATTTCTTCTTCCAAAATTCATTGATTAAGATGTTTTTTTTAATAAATATTTTCAGATAAAGATCCGTCGGTGTTACCAAGATCGGTGAGTGAACCTTCCTCTTACGATAAATGAAAAAAAATTGATAAAACGTATCTTTGTTCGTTTCAAGAGAATCTCAACGGTTTTGATTTTCTGGCATTAACACTTAAGAATAATTATGGATCATTGTACATATCTTTCTAGTTTTTTTTTGTTGTTGGTAAGGAGAGTGTAGGAGTAAGAGTCGTGGATTTAGATGTTATGTTTGGTCATGTAGCGATGATGACTATTGAAAACTTTGGAACATAAAAGTTTATGAAGAAGAAAAATAGACATCTTCTTCTTTTTGTCATCTTTTTGTTTGTTAAGAGACAAAGAACTTGGATTATATACACACACACACACTCACAGAAACGAAATTCTACATTATGAAATTTATGATTGACATAAATGTTAAACGTTATGCTTTCTCTCAGAGGGAGTGTATTTGACAAAAAAAAGCAGTTTGTTAAAGAGAGGACAAAAGATGCTAAATATGTCATTTATTAAATTTTCTGTGTGAATGGTATATTGGTAATTTGGAATGACGGAAAGAGAAGTAAATGGGGGGTTTTATTGGTAAGTGAGATGGTGAAAGTTGAGACAAAAACAGTGAAAAATCAAATTTACTTTTTCCCTTTTTTGTCAATGTCATCTCTTTTCTTTTTTGTTCGTAAGTGGTAACAAAGAAGGAAAAAAACAAATCTATAGATTTCAAGTTCCCGTAACGTAAGTAAAGGTAGATTCCGATAAATAATTGACATTATGAAAAAAAATAAAACAATAATTCACAACAATATTCCCTGAATTATTCAAAGTTACAAAGTTATCATGTGTGCACACGGGTTGCAGAATGCATGTTTATTATTTCATCGAACTTGTATTATTCAAAACCTATATACACAAAAATAAATGATGTACAACGTTATTAATTGTAGCTTGAACTTTGGAAACTGATATTGCACCATCTTTTATTGACATAGATAGATACGTACTATAAAACAGCTTTGTCCAAGATTCTGGGCCAGATTGAGTAGAAGAGCCCAAGCCCAAATATATTCTAGTCGACCCACCGGGTTACAGCTTTGTCCAATATTCTGTAAGCCTTTTTTTTTTTGGTAAAAGATTCTGTCAGGTTCTCTGCAGAACTTAAATACCTAATTTAGTTGATAAAAATATAAAAACCAAACCAAACCAAATCATATCTAGTGGGGTATGTTTACTGATGTGTGTTAATCTGATGTGTATGTGCATAAAAATGACTCAAAATGTGGGGCTTTATAGTATTAAATATTAGGAAAAGTCTCCTCTTTATTTCACCAAAAATGTATTAATTATTAAGAAAAGTCTTACCAATATCTCATTTTCTTAACGCGCTAAACTTTTACAAAAACAATTTTTTTGGTAATTACTTCTGTTTTTCCTTTCTACAACAGTGATATTTCTCCTTCATACAAAGACCATGAAATTACTAGTATATTACAAAACCACAAAAAAAAAAAATAAAGTCTTCTTAACCGGGTCACAAAACCGATCAATTAGTAATCACATAACACATTTTGAATAAACCGCCCGTTTAAATTGAGTCTCATGGTACAGCTCATCACACTAACCTTCCATCTCCTTCTTCCCATCACTTTAATCCTTCCTCTAACCTCAGCAACACTTCTCAATTCCAATAACCCTGACCCCAAATCCGAATCCAAACCCCTCGTATTCAATAACCGAAACGAACCGATCTCAGCCACAATCCCGGTTAATCTAACCGTCTTATGAGCTTCGACTCTTCTCCCCTCAACCGTCGTCTCTCCCACAACTCCATGATCGGCGTAAACAACTCGTAACGAGCTGTCACCGAATTCGAAAGCCCCGAAATTCGAATTCCGGATCGAGATATCGCTCACTAGCGTCGCGTTGAAGTAAGGATTCGTCGAGTTACCGTCGAATCGGAGATCTCTCGTGGAGATAGATACAATCTCGATCTCTGGTTTCGAGATCCGGAGAAAAATCAGCGAGAGGACGAGACAAACTGCGAAAACGATGACGATTATTGTTAGGGAATAAACGATACAGTTTCCCGGAGTCTCCTCTGTTTTCCGACGCCAGATTTTCGGGCCGTTCTGCTCTTCGTCGCTCCGGCCGTAAATTTCCGTCGGAGCTAACGTCATCCGATCTTCGTCCGTCATTTCTTGTTTGGTTTGTTGAAGCGATCAGAGGAGGAAGAAGAAGAAGAAGAGGGAGGTGTTAATGGGATGTGTGGGTAGTTTCATTTGGCGGTTAAAAGAGGATTTGGAGGGGCTTTCGTGGGGGACACGTGGCTAGATTCTATTGAGTTAGAGTCCGCTTACGCGGTATTTTTCCTTTTTCCATAAGTTTTTTTTTTTTTTTTGTATTGACTAAATAAGTCTTCTTTGGGGGCCTTGATTTTTATTTTCTCAGATATCTTTATTTGAATTATTCTATTCTTTACTTCTGGTTAAATTGAAGACGTCAAAAATTAAATATTCTTTAGGTTTTAACTGGAAATCAGTTTTAGGAACATTATGGATGAGAGGAATTAAAAAAATGGAATATAAAAAATGAAATAAAGGAAGTTATGAAATTTAAAAAAATGGAATGAATAGTTGAAAAAATTTGTTTTAGTTAATCAAATGGTTAGAGGAATATAATGGAACAAATTTAGTTATGTTTTTATTCTATTGAAATTGTTTTTATTCCATCTATTTCTGTACATATTATATGTGGAATATTTTTACACTACATTCCTTTTCTATTCCATTTAGTTCACCTATTCCAAAAGAATGAAATAAAAAAATTATTCCATTTTAATGATAATATTTATGTGGAATTTACCTGAATAAGCCATTCCATATAATTTTATTCCACAAATTGCAAATCCAGTTGCAGCTTTATTTTTCTTTCTTTTTTGTGGTAAAAAGGTATTCATTGTATTTTATTTCCAGCTCTTTCTTCTTTACTTTTTCTTTGGCAGTCTTTTATATGAGAACTTGAGAAGGGTGAAAAAAACGACTTTTGAGTTTTGAGACAAATTTAATCTGAAATCAACCAAACTGGAAGTAATCTAATATAATGGTTATTGTTCAACTGTTTGAGGTCAAATAATTGTTTTTTTCTTTCTTGACGTATTCTTTTAGACGTCTGCAACTTCAGCTCAAAATTCTATGCATATATAAGTATTCAACAAAAATCTGAAATCGACTTCTTAATGGTAATTTACTCCATGAATTATCTCACAGAATTAGTCCATTTTTCCATTTTCTCATCTAGATACCACTAATTGGATCCATTAGTTAAATGGGTGGGTCATGGCTATGCTCATTTCGGCTTAAACCCATAAATTCCACTGGGCCTTGACGATTTTAATATTGGAGGAAATGGGCATTGTACCTTACTAAGAAATTTGATCCGTTTACAAATTGTCTATTTGGGTTCATTAACAAGGATTTGAGGTTACAAAGTTTCAAATATTATTTTCGCCCAAAAAGAAAATTTGAAAAAAATAGAAATGGCTTAAAACCATAATTTTCACTGGGCCTTTATTATTTTAATATCGGACGAAATGGGCTTTGTATCTTACTGACAATTTGATCCGTTTACAAATTGTCTTTTTGGTTACAAATTTTCTTTTAGCCCATTTCATTAACAAATTGCCTAACAGTATTTTCTTTGACAAGATAGAAAAAGAAAAAAGGAAGTGATTCTTTATCAGTTTATCTTATGCAAACTCTTATTCCGTTGATTTATTAATCTATTGCAAATTATGAAAACTGTTATATCCACAATTCTACAATGATCAATTCTATTATTTTTATGCTATGCAAACTTTTATTCTATTCATAGATGAATAAATTTTTCAAGGACGAGACAAACGACGAAAAACATACGAGCAGGGATGATGATGAGCATACACTGTAAAGAGAGGGACGAAAATCGAAAAGAAACTTCTATAACTTTCTGCTATGCTACTATGTACAACATTGTACATCTTACATTAATAAAATAATAATAATTAAAATATTATAAATCCCTTATTCCCAAATATCCTCCCCAGGTTCTAGAAGCTCTATTCACCGACTCCACTGAAATAATTTAAACAGCTAAAAAAATAGATAAAAAAAAAAATCCCCCAAAAATGTCTTCTTTCTTCCTAATCACATGGACCTTATCAACGCATTATTTGCTTCCATCCTCTCTCTTCTCTGCAGCTGTATTGCACTTTCTCCACAACCGAAAACGACGTCGGAATACACATTACAGTCTCTTTCTCTCACCAACCCTCACCTTCTCTTATAGAATCTTTCCTCATCTCCTTGCTTGCTTTACAAGTAATATAGGAAAAAAACCCAAAAGTTACTCTATGCTTCTATCAAACTTCCCCCCTTATATTCTCCTTCTCGTATATTTACACGTATGCCTCGGTGAATATATAGACCCTAGAGAACGTGTGGAATTAAACGTTAACACACTCACTGTTGACAGCGTGTTAACGTTTAATTACTTTATATTAAAGTATGTATGTATGTATATGGGATAAGGGGTGTGAAGAGATTGATTCTATACTATAAGTGGCTAAATGTGAGATATTAAAGAATCTAGGGGAGGGCTTTAGGTTTCTTCCTTCTTTTCCTTTAGAAATGCTCCTTGTGAAACTCAAACTTCGTTGAACCTTTTTGATTGAATGTGTTGCAAAGCTTGCTAAGCTCTTTGCCTAGAACCGGTACTCCACAATAAAACACTCCTGCCAAAAAAATATCAAAGATTTAAGAATCATTTTTACCCAAACCGGAATATTTTTTTGTTCTCTATTGTTGTTTGATTGTGATAGAAACTGAAAATGAAAGCTTATTTAAAATCAGATATCCCCGAAAAACATTGGAACTCATTGCCCACAGATTCAGAAAAATGAAACGGAATTGTGGGGACTAAATTGATTGAATCTGTAGTTTATGTGAAAATTTGAAAACGATAGAGGTAGTGATTGTTACCTATTCTTGCATTGCAATGCTTGGAACTTAGCTTAGAAAGAACCTTCTTCCAATTAGGTCTTGCAAAGTGTGTTCTGACCTGAAAATGAAGTTTTCTTAGAAATATATACCTTTCTTGTGGGGGTTCATTTTTCCACAATGAGAAGTTGGGGACCGTTTTAAGACATCAAAGGAATCACGACTTTATATTTGCAATTTATTTGGTTTAAAGAAGAAAAAGTCACGTACCCTAGTGCCAGAGACGATATCGACTCCATTTTTGGCGTGATTAAGAGCTTGAACCATTGTAATGAGAGCAGAACGAGCATCACCTTCTTCATACACACTTGTCAAATAGTTATGCATCTCTATCACACCCTGTTCCACGCAAAAAAAGTTACTCTCAACTGATTTTTTTTTGGGAAATCTTGTTTGATTTTCTCGGAGAAGGTTTATTTTTTTATATTTTTTACCCGTTGGTCAAGCTCTGCGACTTCGTTCATGACGCCTTTGAACCAATCAAACGAGCCTTGTTCTCTTGTGACCCAATAGAAGTAAGCATTTGTTGTTTTTAGTAATTTTTTTCGTCTCGGTGTATTGTTATTGTTGTCACTGTTGCTCCCTATGCTGTGCTCTGATGATCTACTGAAATCCGAGATCGAGTCCTGGAGATGTTAAAACATTTAACAAGTTCATAACTTTGTCAAGTTCATAAAAAGTAAAAAAAAAGGTTAAAGATTTGTGTTTATTACCGCTTGCTCTTCCATTTTAACAATGTTGTTGAGCAAATCTTTCAAGATACTGATAAATGGAGTTGCACCAATGCCAAGACCAACTAATAAGAGAACATCATATTTTCTATAGTCTTGTGCTGGTGCTCCGTACGGTCCATCTATCAATAGCTTTGGCAAACTGAAACAAAATTAACATGTTAGCATTTGGTTGATTATAGTTACTACTAATTAATGTTTTGGTTTTTCTTTTTTTATATAATTATATACTTTTTCTTTGTTGTTTCGTCGGCTCTGAGAAGTCCGCTTTTACCAGCAACAGGTGGCTCACAAACTTCAGAGAATACTCTTTTGAGTTCTTGAGTCCAGTCTCCAAGTTGTCTGATGTGAATACTGATATAGTCATCTTCAGGTGCTGAAGTAATTGAGAATGGATGCCTAAAATGGAAATACAAATTAATTTGATTAGTAACAGAAACAGTTTTCCTTTCTATAATTAGTAACTTTTACCATTCGAATGGCGAAACTGCAGGACACTGGACGAACATGTATTGTCCGCTTTTGTAACGAAATTGAGATGGTTTCGACATTTGCAGCGTCAAAACGTTACCAGGATATATAGCAACCTAAACAAAAAAAAGAAAAATCAAAAAGAAGTTTATAGCCTTTAATAGCAAGAAATGAGTAAAAGTAAAGAAAACAGAGTACTCTGTTTTTTTTGGGTTGTACATACCTTAAGAAGTCGAACCGAATAAGAACCAGAACGGAAATACCTAAGTGTTCTCTCTCCACCATATAGTAAAATCGGTACGGAGAGATACATCCATGTCTGCAAAAGAAAAACATCTCAAAAAAATCATAAATCAAGATTATTCTTTTTTAAAACAATTAATGAGCTTAGAATCAATCATTAGAGACTTACCGTGTGAACATACCAAGGCTTGGCGAAATAGAGGAAGATTCCATGAAGGATAAGCAAGATGTAGACGATGACGAACAAATGGTGTGAATACCAAAAGGCGTTAAAACCAGTAAGACGATCAAAAGGCTTAGGAAGCTTGACGAGGTTACGCCGAAACCATCTCGTTGCTAATGTGAATGAAATAGCCATCAAAATGATCATCAAGATCCCTGTGATGCCTTCAGGTCCCTTAACGAGGTCGAAGTACGTTGGCTGTTTTTGCTGAAAGTAATGAAACAGATAGCGATTGTAATCGTACTCTGTGGCTCTAACGATTCTTGGGAAGTCACAAGCAAGATGGTCTCCAACATGAAGGATCACGGCTACTACAATGGCTCCTGCTATTGTCTGCATGTAACAAAGAAAAGAGAGTAGTGAGTTAAAAAAAAAGAAATTCCAACAAAATTTTCTCAAAATAAACAACAAATTAAGTTCTAATTCGGTATACTGTATATAGAACTTTCCAAAAACCAAAGTTTCATGTGCCTGACTCTAGTTGAATTGTGTCAAAGACTAAAAAAAGTAAGAAATAAAAAAGGGAAAAACTCAAAAAGGGAAAGCGAAATATAGCTGTTTAGCTGTCAAAGTGTCAACTTCCAGTGCGTGCACAAAGAATATGAGCCCCACTTTCTCAGCTTTTCTCGACAGCACATTGCGTTCGAAGAGGATTTTGTATCTAAATGACTATTAATTTTGACTTATATAATAGTCACGAAAATAAAGTTCCCATTGTGACCCCAACAATGATTAAAATAGAAAATAAAGATTATCAGGGTTTATAGTTTAGTTCACTAACCTTGTGGAAATTGATGTTATCATCAAAAGGAACGAAGTAAGAGAGTCTTGTGGATCTGAGCCAAGTAATGGTGTTTCTGCAAACCGGGAAGAGTATAAGAGCCATGTTGAATTTAAGTGTTTCTGCTGCTCCTTTTGCTGTGAGTAAGCAATAACCCATCACGTGAAACGCATCTTTTTGCTTGTACTGGAAGAATTTCCACAAGAACAACCCGATCATGATCAGTACCCATAAGGACAAGACCCATATCCTTTTCCAATTCTCTTGCATGAAGTAGACGCAATCCGAGCCCATTCGATGTATTCTGCTGTTTTTTCTTAACCCTTGAAGGTTTTGGCTCAATGCTTGGCTTGTATAGCTCAATGCTTGACTGTAATTGAGGTACGTGTCTTTTTGCAAAAGCAGAGTCTCTAGTTGCCATAGCTACACAAGAAAACACAAAAAAAAACATTAAATCTTTGCCTTAACATAATCTCAAAATGCTGATGATGAGGTTGATATATATAACCAGACAAGCTAAAGCAGTGACATGTATTAACTCTGTTCTCTTGAATCTTTTCTACCCTAACTTGACATTTGTAGTAGTTTAATTGTAACTGCTTCACCTACCATTTGAGTTAATCATTGTATGTCAAATGTGTAAGCTAATGGATTAGGAAAGTAAAAAAAAAACTATACACTATGATATTTGAGCTACTGAATAGACGAATCTAGGTGTCAGCAAAATGAGATAAGAGTAGAAGAAAAGCAAACAAGAAAATTATTCAAATGCTACGAAAATCGTCTCTTTTGTTTCTTCTATAACCTGTGAGGTCATTTATATAAAAGAATTGTTGAATTCTATTTATGGGCGGCGGTTTAGCATACTTTATTCCGTTTTTGTGTAACGAAAAGTAATGGAATATAAAATTCACATCATGCAAGCACGGAAACAAAACATGTGATGGCATTGAAATTAAATTCAGTTTGTGACATAATAAAAGATACAGAGAATTAGGACCAACCTCTATGTAGCCAAGTCTTTCAGGATCTAACTCTTCCATAATCAAAGCTGCATATTCCTCTGCTTGTTCCTTCAATCTTGATAGCTTATTTGCAGATGCACTCAGCATTATAATCTATGTAAATTTTTCACAAAGAAAACAAGAAAACAAAAGGATAAGGATCTTTCATAATGTTAAGTAAGCCATCTCTATTACTTATTGTGTCACCGTCATTAGATATATATTAAAACAACTTGAATATTTAGTCAAAACCAAACTAAAATAACATATTTCAACATATATGCCACCTTAGTTACAGATAAGAATCTAATGAAAATGGGTAAAATATAAAGGACAAGAAAATTCGCATTTTGGTTCTTTTAATTTTTAAAATTTTAGATGGAGTGGTTAGTATATCAGCATTTCATGCGGTTTAAGGTCACCAAATCCCCGCCTAACTTTGAGTATATATATAAAAACCTAATTTGACCACCAGTCCCAATTTATTATTTTTTGAATTTTACACATAATCTAAGATTTTTTTATATATATATAGCTCTAAATGAATAATGACAAATTGCTAACGCTAATTGTCTGTTTGTTAAAAAATTTAGTCAGCATTTAATTCTTTACCTCCTTGACTTCCTCTTCTGTAATTCTCCCATCTTCGTTCTTGTCCACTCTGTAATTTCCGACAAATAAAGGTGATTAATGTTAATCGTGTATTAATTATCTACCACTAAAGTCAAAGGTTTATACTCAGAAAAAAGTATAATTAAAAACATACGCATCGTCGGGAACAATAATTCCTGCACACATGCAAATTACCATTACTTGGAGAACTGTTTATATATTATCATAATTAAGAAGACTGATCTGGAAACGCTGAAAATATGGGATCGTTTATAGTAAAATGATTAGAAGAAGCTTTTAGGATAATGATTATTAGTAGAAAAAATATGATTAGGAGAGTTAATTAATTAAATCATTAAGTAACTTTCTTTCTGTTACTTCTCCTTTAAACGTACATGTCGAAGAAGATCTGGAGGCGAGAATCGAAGCTTTCGTCGTTGATTTGGGACCAATACTCATAAAGCTCGTCGTGACTGATTTTCTCAACTTTCAATCTTCTTCTCCTACTCAATGCGTCGAACAGTTCGAGTGCAAATTCCTTTGAATCTTTCATTCCTGTTGAAGAATTAAAATAAAAAAAACAATAAAAAAATCGAGTTTAAGAATTCGAATTTCAAATCAAAATCTGTGAATCTCGATTTCGATTTCGAATTTCGAATTTTCGAACCTATGCATTGAGCGAAATCGGAGCGATAGATGAAACCGTTTTTGGAAAGCTTTTCGAAATTGCTCTGAACATCGTTCCAGCCATCGACGTTCTTATTGTTGTTGCTGATGAATCTCAAGCCACGAAGCGCTCTCTGAGCACTGGACCGAGTCCGATCTAGCTGAGCTCGTTGTTTCCGCAACGCTCGAGCCTCTAGAGCCGAGTTCACTAGACCTCCTCCACCGCCGCCGCTTTGATTCGCCGCGGAGGATGATAAAGTGCCGGAGAAAGACCGAGACCACGAGAATCGCTTCAGCTCCTGCGACAACTGCTTCGCCTTGGCGACCGCTTCCGCCTTGAGCTCCTGCGAGAATTGCCGGAGCCGATTCGACGAGGTCCGCTTCATCGTCGGGGATCTCGAGATCGAAACCGGAGTCATCATCCCGCCGCCTCCAGGGGTTGATGCGATTTCGTCGGAGATATCGACAGTAATGGCGGTTGCTGGCTCGACGCTTCGAAGGACGATGGTGTCGTCGTCCTGAAGATCGATCGTAACCTCGACGAACTCATCACCGTAGCCGCCGTTGGAACATTCAGTTCCCGGAGATGTAGATGCACTCCCGGCGGCGGTTCTTCCGGCGGAGACGGAATCAAATGACCACCGGCGTCGATCGTGCTTCGAGAACGGCCTCATTGACGAACGAAAATCGGATGGATCCAACGACTGAGGATTGGCTCTTCGCCGGCGAACGAACGGTTAACGATCAAAATGTTCGGCGAAGGATATTGGACGTATATACACGTAGCATAGATTGTATATATAAAGGTAGGTGGAATCTTCGAAGAGAGAGAGAGAGAGAATTCAAACGCGTCGTGGCTCAGTGGGGAAAGCCATTTTTCACGCGCTGTGCAAATCTGCGCTTTATAGGGGAGAGGAGAGAGAGAGATGCAGAGGTAAAAGAAGAGAGAGAGAGAGAGAGAGAGAGAGAGAGAGAAAGTGATGCAGAGGTAAAAGAAGAGAGAGGCCGAACGTTGACGGTTAGAGAGAGAGCAAAGACCGTGGAGGCTTGAACCGGACCGGGAAAAGGTGACGGAATATATATATTTTTTGAAAAAAAACAATTATATTTGGTTTGATTGGTAATAGCGGTAGATTTAAGTTTTTGCTATATAAATATATGGCTATAAGTTTTTTTTTGTAGCTATAGATTTTATTTTTTAAAAATTTTGGCTGCAGAATTATAAAATCAAAGTATAAAATTATGTATTTTAGAAAAAAGTGCTTTCTATAGCAAAAAAATAAAAAAAAGAAATATTTTGACAGTGAGCAAATAAAAAAAAGATAAATTTTATACAGCATAATTAGTATAATTTATAACTGTGAATATAAATAGAGCTGTAATTTTTTTTGCTATAGCTATAAATTTATTTTTTTAAAATTTTTGGCTATAGAATTATAAAATTTGGAAGATAGAAGATTATGTGTTTTAGAAAAAAATGCTTTATATAACCAAAAAAAAAAAAATATATTTTGGCTGTGAACAAATAAATGAAAGATAAAATTTATAAAGCATGATTGGTATGATTTAGAGCTGTAAATATAAATATGGTTGTAAGTTTTTTGCTGTAGAATTTATTACTTTAAATATTTGACTGTAAAATTGTAAAATTTGGAAAGTATAAAATTATGTGTTTTAGAAAAAAATGCTTTGTACAACTAAAAAAATAAAAAAAAGAAATATTTTGGCTGTGAACAAATAAAAGAAAGATAAAATTTATAAATTTATGATTGGTATGATTTAGAGCTGTAAATATAAATATTGTTGCAACCAATCAAGCCCATAGTAATTGCTAATATATCTATAAGTTATTTTCTTAATTAATTAGATAACTTTTTTTTGTTGGTTCAACATATATGATTAGATAACTAAACTTGATTGTTTTTTCTTATGACTGCAATTCAACTTGATTTTAATATTAAAATTTGGGTAGCTTTTCTACCCTTAACTTCATTGGTTTTTTTGTCTAGAAAACATTACGAGATCTTTCAAAATATCAAAGGCAAATACACTACATGAACACATTTATCAAACGATTACAATCTAACCTACTTGATATAGTAAATAAAACTATCAATATCATTACACCACGGAAAGAAAATTATCGAGTAAACGAATGAATACATTTTATACGAAAATTTAAAGCCAAGTGAATCTATTAGTTTCTTGTAACATGTAAAGGGATAGCAAAAACTCGGATATGTTATTTCAAGTAATACCAAAGGAATATTTTAAATCTGAGTGATTGTGTGACTGATGTTTCTCTGCAAGTCTACTTTATTTCTTCTTTTCGTCCGACGCGTTTTTATCATAAGTTGTGCTTGTGAACATATGAGAAAAAAACAAAGAAACGACTTTGAATATGTAAGTTTAGATGAAACTTTTGGGTACAAGTGTTATAGTGATTGATGTATTATTGTCAAGTCCACGACTAAGAAGAATATTTTCTTAGATTCGAAACGAGTTTACTTTCAAGAAGAACAAATCAAATTTGTTAACAGCATTTTGTTTTCAGTGCTTCGCTAATAGATTCAAAAGATTTTACATCAGCCTCAAAATGTTTCATGAGTCGTCGTCATCCATTATAATCGAGCGGATTGTTTAGTAAAAAATTATTCGAGTGGGTAAGAATTTTTTTTTTGATTTAGTATATAATAATAGTTAAACTCGAATAAAAGTCAATGAGATTCTTTCTTAGCTATATTAGATGTTTTGAATGGCAAGAATATTAAGCTTTCTACATATCTCACGGATTAATCTGACTTTAGTTCATGATCTATTATATATAAGAAGAACATATGTATTTTTTAAGCGGCTTTACTTAAAACAACTTAATTTTTGTTTAGTCTAAAGATAGATATATATATTTCATCTAGTCGTACTGTTTATCCGATTTTAAAATATAGATGAATAAGAATAACTTTGTACAAAGTTACAAATTGATATCAATTGTTAGAAAGCTAGATGATATGGAATATATAAATATAATGCATGTGTGTTTCAATGTTTCAACTTCTTCATGCACTTAGTAGTTAGTACACATGAATTTGTTGAGACTGCGACTTAGCAACAAACTAATAGACATGTTGAACATTCTAAACTTCAAAACGAAATATCGATTAAATCCAAGTCATATTTAATTAGTTTCTTTTTTAGATGCTTCTTGAATTTTTTTGTTGCCTCCTTTGGGAAATGTTTGCGTATCTACCAAGTAATTGCTTATATTTTTTTTTGGGGGGTCGATTGTTGAATTGAACCACACAGTGTACTTTGAAAGCTATTCCATATATTACGATGATGTTATGTAACTTGTGTTCGACCCTATTTTATATCAAATTTATTTTCTTGAAGAAGAAAAAAACTACGTTTTTGTATTATGACAGGAAAAAATTGTAAAGAACGAAAAAGAATCAGTATATGATAAATCTACTATAACTAATCATGTTTATTTAAAAATCATGTTTAAATCAATATATAATTAATTTATTCATGCTATTCACACACTCTTAAAAAAGTTACTAGGTGAAAATGTAAAAGGAAATAATATGTTCGTCAATATTCTAAATCAACATATTTTAGGAAGATATTGTCAAATTAATATATCTGATGTAAAAAGTCAAGATTGATTGTAGTTGCAATTGATATATTTTCAAACTTAACTAATCTCATTTTAATAAAACATAGGTTTTCCACGCTACACCACCCGATTAACATCAATTTCAATTTGACGAAATATATTATACTATTAATGTATTCACAAAAGGTACTTTTCTGTTTTATAACATAGGTTGTTCTGGATTAAAACACACATATTTGTGCATTTTTTATTTTTAATCACCTTTAACAGAAAATCACTTAACTATAAAAATGCTATTAATTTACATTTATCTTTATTTCTAGCTTTTTGAGTTGTTTTTTCATTAATTAAGGTATAGTTTTTTTATTTAAATCCTTGAAATTTTTTATATTGTCAAAATAATTTATATTATGAAACCGAGGAAATACTAATTCAAAGTTTTGTAATATTTTATATGGATTAACAAAAGTCAGAGGTTTTTGAACCAACACGTACTTATGAGAAAAGGTGCGTATATCAATGTACAAAATTCTAAAGTTATAACCAATGTTATATGTTATGTGCATGTGTACATTGATATACCCATTTGAATTCCTTTGCACAAAAATACATTTGAACTCCAATGTTGTCAGAAAAAAGCACTCCACTATAAAAAAATATGATTTAGATCAATATGTAACATTTTCTCTCTAAAAAAACATTTTCTATTAACTGTAGAATAGAAAATCTAAAGGAAGTTAACCCACCTGCTTGACTTTTAAGGTTTTCAAATTTGACATTTCCTTTCCTTTTCGATTACTGTTTACTACAATAGTTTTGGAACGATGGATTTACGCTATGTTACTATGAAGCTAATAATTATATTAGTGGTTGTTTACTTTAATTACTTAAGAGGTAAGATTGTGGAAACTTTTTAACTATCGTATATATATGGAAATTATACAAAGTCAAGCGGATAGAAACAATTACGAATGGTTTGTCTAGTTCATAGTTTACCATTGTGACTTTTGTCACCAAGTCCATAGTTTCTTACTCTCTATATATTCATATATCTATAAGTTTACAGTTTATCGTTTACTTTTGAACAAACTTTTTACGCTCATGCATGTATCACGCAAACTATTGGGCTTCTAGAAGAAAATCACGTGATTGAGGCCCAATACAGTGATGGTCCACCCAGTCCCGTCTTAGCAATTTCAAAAGCCTTGAACGAAATACAAAATATGAAATTTTTATATTATATTAATAAAAAGTAATTGTATTAATTAAAATAAATCAAACTATAATTTTTTGACTTTTTAAAATATAAAATAAGTTGCTAGTTTGTTAAAAAAAATACATAACTAGTTTGTATAATATTTTTTTGATATAAAACTTCATTCAAATATATCATTTCTGTAAATTACATAAAAAATTCAACAAACCTAAAAAATACAAAAGAATATTAATGTCTTTTAGAAAAATAAAAATATATATATATATATCTTTTTCCTAATTTTATTGATGCAAAATTATTGATAATTGTTTCGAAATTTATAGTTTTTAAAACTTCATTTTCAATGCATAAAAGTACAAGACCATTCAACCTTTGTTGAAACATTGATATGATCTTGAAATTCTTTGTAATTTTAAATAAACGAGATGGTTGTTGTCTTGTTAACAAAGAAAACAGTTAAAGTGTAATCCTTTTTATATAAGTATATTATGACCTCTTATTAATAATTGAATAAATCATAAGCTTTTTTATGTACTAAAAAATAATTATATAAGAATATATTTTTAACAAATTTTATAATATATAAAAAGTTGGACCCTTAAATTTTAGATATAATTTCTTTTATATAACTAGATCATAATCCTTTTTTTTTATTAAATAGATCATGGACCTTATTATATACTATAAATTAGTTATATTTTTCTTTAATGTGTTAAAAACACATTATAACAAAATTTTCAATATAAAAAAAATAAAATTGAGTCTTTAAATTTTTGGACCCATGGCCATTACCCCTCCCACCATACCTTAGAGCCGGGGATGGGTCCACCATATATCTCCCAAGTCAATGACACAACCACTGCTTGTACTTTGTACTCACAGGAGAGAATCTATGTCATCTTATTTTTATTGAATCCTTGAAATTATTATCGTAGTTGCTTATTTGACATTTGAAATATCAAATCCTAACTGATAAAACAAAATTCCTGTTTTGTGGAAACGCTTTTGGTTTAAAGCGTTTACACTAGATAGAAAGTGAATGTTTAAGGCGTTTACACTAGATAGAAAGTTTTAAATTCTCTCTATTGTACTAAAAAAAAAAAATAGTACAAGAGAAAATATCTTACTGTACTAGTATTTGATAAGATGCCTTTAGACAAAAGTTGGTTAAATGTTGTTGATTAGTTTACTGGTGGCTATCAAACTCGTATTGGTTTCTTCGGTTCCTTTGTGAAAAATCAAAAGTATTAAAAATTAAAACACGTAAAAATACAAACTAACCGATCGTGATCGGTGTGACACCACAATGTCACATACATACATTAGCGATTGAAGTTTGAATTAGAAACGGCTTCATGATGGCTTTCCAACTTTAATATATTATCTTAGGTTATAATAGCTATTTAATAATAGTCAGGAACATCAATAACACATGTGTAGTGTAATGCATTTACATTCTTAACAACTACTTCAATAAAAAAATATGCTTCACTTTTTATTGGTTGAAGTTTATAAAGTATTCAAATTCAAAACTTAAACAGTACAAGGCTATTATAACTTCTCAATCATATATACAGTGTTTTACATAGTTGTAAAGAAATGTAAAAAGACTTAGCATACACTTTTAGAGAGTATGATATTAGAATAAGATAGTATCGATCACTCGGGAAAAAAAAAAATTCTATTGTTGCAACTTACACCGTTACGTTTAAGCCTGAAAAAAATGGATTTCTTTTCTATTTTGTAAATAATCTTAAGTTTGAATGTAGTGACGCGTTCAATGCTTTTGGTGTATGCTTGTTTGTAAAACATAAAAGTAGCGATTTCGTCAAATAATAACGTTTATGTACTATTTTAATCAAGCTATGCAAAAATAACTGACCTAATTATATATTTTAATTTTTTATTAAAAGACATATTTTAGATTTTGGTTATCTAGCAAATTAATCCATTTTAATGACTACTCCATCTGTTCCATATTGTATGATGTTTTGGGTTTTTATTTTATTTTTAAAAAATTGATTTTTTACATTATATTTAATATATTTCTTTTTCCAAAACAATTTTTTGGATAAAAAAATATAAAAAATCAGTATTAAATTAATAAACAAATAAAAAATACTTTAGAAAAGTAAATAATCATTATTTTCTTAATATCTGTAAAACATCTAAAACATCATACATTCTGGAACGGAGGAAGTAGTTAATAACATGTTAGGATGTCTTTCTCCATTAATCATATCAATCTATGGCCATTACTATTTTCATCTCTTCCGGTTATGCTCTCATACATATCCCTATTATATTTTATAAATCTTAAGTCAATTATTTATTTTAATTATTAGTGGTAAACATAAAAAGCACTTCAAATTCATAAGAATCTTAGGCGTACGCGTCGTCTGATTTGTGACCAATCTTGTTGGTGGAGACTAATAAAACAAACAATTCCACATTTAGGAGTTGACGAAATATTCAAAGCTTATAGTTTAAATAACGATATTATATATATCTCTACGCAGACCAAACTCTAACAACCTTTTCTAGGTTTTGACTTGTGACAAAATGATACTCTTAACCCCAAATACTGAAAAAACTGAAGTGCATTGGTTCATTCAACACGTTACTGGGATATATAACCCAACTAGAATACTATATTTGGAGAGAAACGATTTACGTTTGTGGACTTGCTACAAAATAAAAATACTTACGAAATTTTCCATTTAGATAATCAATATTTTGCCGACAAAAACAATAATATTTGAATGTTGTTGAACAAATGATGGTGCACACAAACACACACCTCTAAAGAGTTAAAAGTCTTTAGTTCAATAACAATGATAAACAAGTAGAACATATGCAAAGATATTAAAGTTGGGATTTTATATCATTAACCTCGTAGAATTAAAAATCTTCAAACACAACAGACCTTAATAGAACTGTGTGGCTACAACTACGACTGAAAAAAATGTTACAACATTGAAGGCGATACATATATCAACCATATATATATATATATAGTCTTCTGCACCTAAACTGTGCACATGGAGAAGAACTTACCTTACACCGTGACACCATTTATATTTACAGATGACCCCTACGACGTGGTTTTGTTTGTTTCGAGTAAACAAGATCAGTTTCCATGGATTGATTCACCAGGCTCATTTCCAACCGATTCCTGAAAATTTCCGAGACTTTTGAGGATAAGTGGATGATTTTTGGAGTGTTCTCGTTGGTGGTGGAGGCGGCGGCATCAGACGGGAATGATTCTTGAACTTGCTTGAAGATGAATGTTTTCTATCTGATTCTATTGCTGATGATGATGATGGGCTTGGGAATGATCCTTTCTTGTTCTCCATTGTTGATAGTTTCAGTCTCTTTGAAGGCTTAGGAAGATGGTGATGACGATTCTGCTCTGCTGCTGAATCTTTGCTCACGTGGTTTTTGTTCTTGCTGATTAAGTTAAGATCTAAGGTTGAGACCGTTGTTCCGTGTCTTTCGAGAGGCTTTTCGATCAGTTTGGATTTGCGGGCTTTCATGGACTTCTGAGAGAGCTTCTTTGGCCATCTGAGGATTCCATTTGGGTTGTTGTGGTTTGTGGATTGGACTGCAATGTCACACAGCGTTTGAGCAGCCGCTAACAGCTGAGGACAAGATAGAGCTGCACACAACATAACATCATTATAAGAAGATTCAAGATGATGAGAAATTGAGTAAACAGCATTTGTTAAAGCATACCATCGTCATGAACATCCCGGGATCCCTCTGGTTCTGCATTTGCTGAGAGATAGAATTGATGTTATATAGTTTCAGTAATAAGTATAAAAAGAGGCAAAAACGGAAAAAATACGAAGACGGATTCTTTACCTGTAGGAACAAAGGAAGCTTTTTGAAAAGTAGAAACAGATGCTTCTGTGCACTGGCATGAATTGGTGTTAGCGGAAATTGTCTGAGAGGTCTTAGTTCCAGTGATAGTTTGCTTCTGTAATGGAAGGACTAGGCTTTGGTTGAAAGTGAGTGAGTCCAGATTTGCGAAATGATCGGTAATACTCTCTGGAGAGCTCAGAGTAGCGTCGGCTATTCTTAGCCATCGTCCTTGACAAAGCGTTTTGCCGGTTAGAAGCTTTGCAGCTTCTGAGTTGGTTCTAGAGCTCCCATTATAAGCCTGTGACCAAGGGAAATGTGGCAATCCACCACGAGGAGGTAGTTGTTTAGCTGAGCGCTGCTGGTCCGGCATGTTCTTAGAGTTCTGAGAAGGTTTCGAAGCATCTTGGAGCAGAGAGTCTAAATCTTTCGGCGGAGGAAGGCCTAATCTTTTCAATACATCGCTAGACTCGCATATTGGAAAATTCAGTGGTGTGGAAGGAATTTCAGAGTTGACACAATGATCCTGAAAAACACAAAGAGTAGGTAACTTTTCAGTTTAAGCAATACAGATCAAATCAGAATACATCTGAAATATAAAAGTGTTGAACTAAGTGAGAAATCCACCTTAGAAGATGGGGATAGATCTCCATCAAGAGCATTTACTTTATCGCTGTTTTCACGATTTAGTGTGGCAGAGAGAGAGCTTGGTGAGCTCAGAGTTCTGCTGATGCAAGTGTCTGATTCAGCAGAGCTTTGTGACTGAACAGGCCTTCTAGTTGGAAGAATAGACCAAACACTTCTGACCACACTCAGCAAAGAGTCATTACTATTCTCCAATTTCTTTACCTTGCCTTTGCCCAAAGAAGGACACTCGCATGAGCCTTCAAGAAGCTTCTTCAATGACAAATCTTCAATGAGTTTGGTAACATCATTTATCTCAGGCTTCAGACCGTAGGCACCTGCACGTAAGGCAAATTAAGAGGTAGACACAACACTAGAAAAAGAAGATCAGAGCATATCATGTGAAGAGGATACACTGACAAGACCTTGCCATAACAACAAGGTCGCTTTTAAATGAGATGGTAGTGAAAAGCACAGGTGCTATGACTCTCACACTGTATCTTTGGTACCTTACCGATGCAAAATAATATGTCAGCCAATGAAACTATCCAGATAAGAGAAATGAAACTCAAAATCACCACAAATAACCGAGGGAACCTCTAAAGCTACCTCAGAACAGGTTCACTGGTAAATCACTTCAAAGTTCAGACGATGCGATCTATAGAACTGTGAGTATACAAGAAAATAATTAACTAGCTAAAGTAAACGGACCAAGTTGAGGACTCATGGATACCACATGGCAGCACTAGTTCAGAAGCAGTCACATACCGAAAAAAGCATTCTCGCCAGTGGCTGAACTGACTGTTGAAAAACTTCTCGTGGGAACTTTTGAATTCCTCTTATCACTTCGCCTGCCATTACAGCTGCTTCGTTGCTTCACTGCTAAGGGTTTATCTATGTAGCATTCAACATAATATGAATAAGTAACCTAGCCAAGCCAAGCCAAGTTAATACACAAACACATGTTTCTCTATGAAGCATCCAACGCTCATGAAAGAAAAAGTAGAATTGTGGTTGCCTGAGAGTTACCTGAGTGAGTAGGTCCTTGTCCACATATCTCTTTCGTGTCATTAACCCTCACTGTGCTCACTGTTTCATCCAGAAGAATCAATTTCGTCCTCTTCGAAGTCACATTACTACTACTACTTCTCGAAAGTTTTCCTCTTTTCCTCGGAGACTCGGCGCTTTCTGGACTAGCAATCGGTAGATAACCGTTTTGAGGCTCCGATGAATTTTCGACCCGAAGTTTCGTAAGCCTATCATGTACAAAGTCGTGTGAGTGCATCAATTTGCGCCATAGCGATGAATCTGAAGCCCCACTGCTGCTTCCTGCTCCTGGATCAAGTAGAAGAGTAAATCGAGGATATTAAACATCGGTGCTGATTAAGAAAGTCCTCATCAAACCTGAGCAAAAGCAAAAACTAAAACACCTACAAGTTTCCAACGAATCTTGAAAAAGTTTGCAAATTTACCAAACTCTGATATACGAAATGAAAACACATTTGGATCTACATATGTAAAACTGTACCCACTTGGTGACCTGAATAACATCAATCTGATAAGTCTTATCGATTCAAACTTAACAGACCCAGATGAACTGAAAAGTCAAAATAGAAAGGAAGCAGGGAACGAGAATCACCAAACAGATTACGAAGAACATCAATCTAGAAGTGATAAAAGTCATTAAATTTAGCTCAACCTTTTTTGCTAATTGAAGCACTGCAACGCTCAATCGAAGAATTGACGCCAATCGAGGCACGAGCCTTCTCACAGTTGTTATCTGCTTTGTTCGACGAAACCCTAACCCCACCACACCCTTCAGATCCCATAAGCTTAGCCGGCACAAAAACGTCGACGGAACAAGTTACCTCTAAACCGTCCATCACCACCGTGAGAAACCCAAATCGACGACGCCGCAACCGTGTGGGCTGCGAGACAAAGTCATCTCTTTAAAGCTAAGTCGGATACTTCGAAGCTTCGATCGAGCTTGAGGATGGATAAATCTCAGAAATTCGTGGGAATAATCAAAAAAGGAAAGTGAGGTAAAGAGTGAGATTAATTTGGGGATTTCTCTGGTGAGTGGGGAAGAGGAAACGCAATGGTGCGGCTGCGTAAATCGGGGGATTTTTCTAGGGCAAAGAAAATGAAGGGAAAAAGATGACTATTTATAGTTTTCGGGAAATTAACTTTGGCCTGTTTAGATAAGCCGTCGACGGTGAGATGTTCCGGTGAGATCGTCCGTACCGGTAAGCATGACGTGGCAGCTACATTATTGCTTTAAACTGCGGAACGTACTGATCGAGAGCCGTTCGATACGGAATGGTGACGGGGATTTTATAATCTAGCGGCTAATAGAGTGTCACGTAGTCAAGTGAGTTTTCGCTTGTTCATGTTTATGTGAGTTTCCAGAAATGCCACTGGAGTATTCAGGTGTTGGCTTGGGCACGTAAATTTTATTTGACCATATTACCCCTTATCTGAGTTCGAACGCCGTTAGATTGTGTAGATTCCGTTAAATCTTTTTTTTTTTGTTAACTATAGTCTATATTCATTTCAAGTCTTGAACAAGTCTCTTATTATGAAAAAAAGAGAGTGATAATGAAAAAAAATTAATCCCTTTTCTTTTTAAAGTCAACCAATAATTAATCCCTTTTCTTTTTAAACAAGTGACTTTAAATCGTTTCAACTTTTAAACATCCGTTTGATAATGTAAAAACTTTTAAACTTACTCGGTTTAATTTAATGTAAAATCATCTTTCAAAAAATTCTAATAATAATAGTACCTACACAATTATTCCAACCAACATAATTACAAACCATATGATAGTTTGATTTTATTTTATTTAGCAAAAAAAACATATAATAATTGATTGAAATTATTTATAACTATAATTTTTCGCTAGTCGTTTATTATAATTTATTAATTGAATATAGAAAATGTAGAAATATTTTTTTTTTTTTTTTTAATATTCAAGCAAAATTTGAAAAAATGAATAAAAATGTTGGAGTATGTTTAAATGCAAATTTCATTATTTCCCTATATATAAAACTCTAAAGAAATATTATAAGTTTGGTCAAAAGACAAAGCCGTCCCTTCCGGTTCACACGAGCCGCACGTGTGCTTCGCTTTTCTCCTTCCCCGTCTCAAGCCGATTCTGTCTAGGGCTCCCGTCTTCTTAGCTTCACAAACCCTTCCTCTCTGTCTCTCTCTCTTTCTCTCTATCCATCTCTCTCTCTCTCTCTCTGGCTCTCCATACAGAGACGATTTTGAACCTCCTTGTTCGGAGACGGGGTTCCGAAACCGGAGGTCGGAAAACGGAAACTCTTATCTCATCCGGTGTTTCGAATTCGAAGGGTTTTGTCCATCGCTGGTGTGAGGTTTTCAGTGTTTGATTTTGATGGACGATAGTGTGGTGGATGATGTCATAAAGAGGCTATTAGGGGCGAAGAACGGGAAGACGACGAAGCAGGTGCAGTTGACGGAGGCGGAGATTAAACATCTCTGTTCGACGGCTAAGCAGATCTTTCTGAGCCAGCCAAATCTTCTGGAACTCGAGGCTCCTATCAAGATTTGTGGTATTGATTCATGATGATACATCAATTTCTAGTTCTTTCTATTTTGTATTGAAATTTTGATTTCGTTTGATGACCAAAATTCCTTTGTTGTAGGGAATCTGTTGCTTATCTCTTGTGTAGAGTCTGTTGCTTATCTCTTGATTAAGAGATGGAGATAGAGATTGATAGCTGATCAGAGATGCTGAAATTTAGAGAAATGCATATGAAACTGGTCAAATAGCTATCGAGATATATAAGAATGCATATTGAATCTGCTGTTTTAGAATGGAGATATTGGTTTGCTTGATCTGTAATCATCTGTGAGATATCAGTTGAACTAGAAATGATCATTGCTCTTCACTTTGATCTTGTATTTTGGATTGTTCTGCTCATTTACTGAACGCTTTTTTCTTACGTTTTGCGAGTAGATGATTTGCTGGATTAGGGTTTTTGTTCTGCTTCATTCCACACAGTGTTAAGTGACAAAAAAATGCATATTGAATATGTTGTTTTCATGGTTTGACAGGAGATACTCATGGTCAGTTCTCAGATCTCTTGAGATTGTTTGAGTACGGTGGCTACCCACCGGCTGCAAACTATTTGTTCCTTGGGGATTATGTAGACCGTGGGAAGCAGAGTGTAGAGACCATATGCCTTCTTCTTGCTTACAAGATCAAATACAAGGAGAACTTCTTTCTTCTGCGAGGGAACCATGAGTGTGCTTCTATAAACCGCATCTACGGGTTCTATGACGAGTGCAAGAAGAGATATAGCGTCCGGGTGTGGAAGATATTCACCGACTGCTTCAACTGTCTCCCCGTTGCTGCTCTTATCGACGAGAAGATCCTCTGTATGCACGGTGGGCTTTCTCCTGAGCTGAAGCACTTGGATGAGATCAGGAACATCGCTCGTCCCGTGGACATTCCTGATCATGGGCTTCTCTGTGATCTGTTGTGGTCTGATCCTGATAAAGACATTGAAGGATGGGGAGAGAATGATAGGGGGGTCTCTTACACTTTTGGGGTTGATAAAGTAGAGGAGTTTCTCCAAACACATGACCTTGACCTAATCTGCAGAGCTCATCAGGTACTTGAGGAAACTCTTTTTATGTAAGTGACCTTACTAAAAAAGCTGTTGGGAAGAATGATTTTGAATTTTCCTCTTTTAGGTTGTGGAAGACGGGTATGAGTTCTTTGCAAATAGACAGCTAGTTACGATATTCTCGGCTCCGAATTACTGTGGAGAGTTTGACAACGCAGGTGCGATGATGAGTGTGGATGATTCCTTGACATGCTCGTTTCAAATCCTCAAAGCATCCGAGAAGAAAGGGAACTTCGGATTTGGCAAGAATGGAGGAAGACGAGGAACCCCACCTCGCAAGGTGAGAGCTACTTTTCAATGCACGAAACTAATAGAGAGAGAGCTTTCTTACTGCATCTCATTGTTTTGTTATGGTTTGGTTTCTCTTTTAGGGTGGAAAAGGCTGAAGACAAAATAACCATGTTTCTTGGCTCAAGACACTTTGCTTGAGACCAAACTGTTCTTCTTCTTCTTCTTCTGCTCTGGATCACTTTTAGCAAGGCGTATTCCTGTCGTTTCCCTTCACTTTTTCTCACGGAGTGAATATGAAATATCTGACTTTTATATATAATATAATCTTGTATCTTTGAGCTATGTGAATCTGAAGATAATATCTGTGAGATACACACGTTGTGTTTTTTTTTTTTTTTGTTAAAATCATTTAATGAAAAACCCTGATGTTTCACTTGAACAAAATGCTAGTTGTATCTTCTCTATACATACTTTATATGCTCAGAAGAAATTAACCGAAAACTTAAAAGATGATTGCTCGACGATTCGCAATCGCAAGTTTTTTCCTTTCAAAGATGAAGATACAAAAACTTAGCACATTCTGAAGCAAAAGGTAAGCATTTCACAAGCATCATCTTGCTTATTGGTCTTTCAATTGAATTTAAAGCCCAATCAAAATTTGTTGGGTACATAGTTCTTTTGAATTTTGTTATTATTATTTTTTTGGTCAAATAGAATTTTGTTATCTAAATCATATTTTAATTCCCATAAATTCTTTTGACGAATAATTGCAAATTTACATTTATTATTAGAGATTACCAATTATTTATTTGTTCTTGTATAGAAGATTTACATCTCATGTCACATTAGATAAATATGACATTTTTCCTTTTTCTTAATCGGCCATACACCAAGGCAAAGGTGTCCATCATTATTACATAAACAAGTTGTTACTTGTCTAGCCCAACTAGAAAAAGAAGCCCATTACGATAATATGTGGCTATATATATATATGTTAATGCTCACAGAGAAAAATAACAGAAAACCTAGAAGATGGATCCACAAGCGAAGAAACAAAAGCTTAACACATCAGAAATCGCTAGTCCCTCTGTCTCCAACATGAAACTAGAGAAAAAGAAGAAGAAAAAGCAAAAGGTTAATGTGGGCAAAGCGATGAGGAAGCAAAACGACGCCGCTATGTTCCTTACAGAGAAAGTGATCTCTGCCGTGGCCAGAAACTCAAACTTCGTCTTCTCTCCGGCATCAATCAGCGCCGTACTCACCATGGTCGCTGCTACCTCCGAAGAAGAAACACTGAGATCCGTCATCTTCTCCATCCTTGGTTCTTCCTCGATCGACGAGCTCAACGCCGTTTTCCACGCGATTGCTACGAACGTCCTCGTCGACGGAAGCGAGAGCGGTGGCCCTAAGATCTCGGCCGTTAATGGAGTGTGGATGGATCAATCGATACCTTTGAATCACTTGGTGAAGGACCTCTTTGAGAATTTCTTCAAGGCTGCTTTCTCTCAAGTTGACTTCCAATTCAAGGTTCGTTTCTAATTTAACCTATTTCGAATATGCTTTGATTATATTAGGTTAAGAGTTTTGTGTGACTCTGTAGAACAGGGTGCTTTTGAGTTTTGAATTAGCGATTGCTCACAAAAAATATTAGGTTAAGAGTACTTTGTGTGAAACTGTAGAGATACGAGCATGCTAATAACTAGGTTATATATATATATATATTAGGTTTTCTAGAGATGTATTGTATCTTTTCGATTTCGAATTCTCTTTTGATTAGGTTAAGAGTACTTTGTGTGAAACTGTAGAACAGAGTGCTCATTAAAATATGTGACAAATATAAAAACAAATTCTGATAAAACTCGCTTTTATATAAATGTGAACACAGTGGGAACAAGTGCGCAAGGAGGTGAATTCGTGGGCTTCAAGGCACACCAATGGTCTCATCAAAAGTATTCTTCCTCCTGGATCGGTCGAGAGTGACACCATATGGGTTTACGGAAACGCATTGTACTTCAAAGGAGCTTGGGAACACAAATTCCGCAAGCCTTTGACGGAAGACAGAGACTTTCACCTTCTCAATGGCACCTCAGTCTCTGTGCCCTTCATGACGAACTATAGGAAACAATACGTGAGGGATTACGGAGACTTCAAGGTCCTTAAGCTCCCATTTCGACAACGCGGCGATATCAGTCGCCAGTTCTCAATGTACTTCTATCTCCCTGAAGCCAATGATGGATTGGATGATCTGGTGAAGAGAATGGCATCTACTCGTGGGTTCTTGGACAGCCACATTCCAAGCCAAGAAGTTCTTACTGGAGAATTCGGAATCCCAAAGTTTAAGATCGAATTCGGGTTTGAGGCTTCGACGGCTTTCAATGAATTGAATCTAAAAGAGGTTTCATTGTACCAAAAAGCTTTTGTCGAAATCGATGAAGATGGTGCAGAAGCTGCTGCTGTTACTGCATGCAGGGGTCGTGGTGCGGGTTGTAGATTACGGGAGACGATAGATTTTGTGGCTGATCATCCATTTCTTTTTATGATTAGGGAAGACAAAACTGCATCAGTTTTGTTCGTTGGCCAAATCTTTAATCCTTCGAAATCTGCTTCTGTCTAGGACCGGATTTGACAGGAATTCGGTTTGGTACTTTTAAACAGGTTTTTTTTTAAAGGTATTAATTAGAGCCGATATTGTTTTTTTTTTTAAATAGATTTGTTTTCAAAATTTTCAGAATTTTTAATAATAATGGCATATGAGGACATTTGTTCTCAAATGGTGGCATTCCAGCAATTGATTAGTCATTTTGAAGTAGCGTTTTTGGTATTGAAAAGCATTTTCTAAAATTAACTGTTGGTCAAATTAAATGCTAAAACTAAACAAATCGCATAAGGCGACGACCATTTAAAAAAATTTCAAAATAAAAAAAATAATCACACCATTAATTAACAGTTAATCATCACCTTCATAGGTCGCGACGACGGCTTTTTGGATCTTTTAAAACTTCCAAATCAAATCGTTGACCATATAAACCACGTCATCTCTCTCTTTCTCTATCTCTCTCGTTGTTGCATGTAAAAAATGGATGCGACAGAATCTTTGAAGAAGCAAAACGAAGTGGCGATGTTCCTTGCGAGGCACGACTTCGATTCAGAGGCCAAAGACTCTAACATCGTCTTCTCCCCTGCGTCAATATACTCCGTGCTCACTCTGGTGGCTTCCTGAAAATTGGTTTGATTGATGAGTCTGGGAGATTTGGGAAATTCTAGTTTAGTTTAGTTTAGGTGATGTTCATTGAATTGATGTCTAAGAAGATTTTGTTCAGGCCGGATCGTTTTATTCGTTTCGGTTGGGTGATGTTTTTCTATTTATAATTAAGAAATTTTATTATTCATATATTTTTAATAGATTTCTAAAGGTAATTTTTTTGCTAAAATTTTCGTATGCCATATATATTTTTGAAAATTTTGATCGAAATCATATATTTTCCATAAATTATTTGGACGAGAAACTGCAAATTTACATTTATTATTAGAAAGGGTTACACAAACCTTAGTTCTATCTTGATCATCCTATATCTTCTATATACACGCACACGTATGCGGTTATATATTTGCTAATGCTCACAGTGAAAGAAAAAAAAAACAGAAAACTTAAAAGATGGATCCACAAGCGAAGAAACAAAAGCTTAGCACATCAGAAATCGCCAGCCCCTCTCTCTCAAACATGGAACCAGAGAAGAAGAAAAAGCAAAAGGTTAATGTGGGCAAAGGGATGAGGAAGCAAAACGACGCCGCTATGTACCATACGGGGAAAGTAATCTCTGCCGTGGCCAGAAACTCAAACTTCGTCTTCTCTCCGGCATCAATCAACGCCGCACTCACCATGGTCGCTGCTACCTCCGAAAACGAAACACTGAGATCCGTCATCTTCTCCATCATTGGTTCTTCCTCAATCGACGAGCTCAACGCCGTTTTCCAAGAGATTGCTACAAACGTCCTCGTCGACGGAAGCGAGAGCGGTGGACCTAAGATCTCGGCCGTTAATGGAGTGTGGATGGAGCAAACGCTACCTTTTGATCCCTTGTCGAAGGACCTCCTTGAGAATTTCTTCAAGGCTGCTTTCTCTCGGGTTGACTTCCAATTCAAGGTTCGTTTCTAATTTAACCTATTTCGAATATGCTTTGATTATATTAGGTTAAGAGTTGGTGTGAAACTCCTAGAGTGTGTGCATAGCTGCGACTAGGAAACGAACATGCTGGTTGTATTAGGTTTTCGATTTTGAGTTTTCTTTGACTATATTTTGCGTGAAATTGACAAAATTTAAAACTAAGCCATACAAATTCTGATGAAACTCGCTTTGTCTATGTGTGTGAAAACAGTGTGAACAAGTGCGCGAAGAGGTGAATTCGTGGGCTTCAAGGCACACCAATGGTCTCATCAAAAATATTCTTCCTCCTGGATCGGTCAAGAGTGACACCATTTGGGTTTACGGAAACGCATTGTACTTCAAAGGATCATGGGAACACAAATTCATCAAGTCTTTGACAGGAGACGAAGACTTTCACCTTCTCAATGGCACCTCAGTCTCTGTGCCGTTCATGACGAACCATAGGAGGCAATACGTGAAGGATTACGGAGACTTCAAGGTCCTTAAGCTCCCATTTCGACGATCCGGCGACATCGATCGCCAGTTCTCAATGTACTTCTATCTCCCTGAAGCCAATGATGGATTGGGTCATCTGGTGAAGAGAATGGCATCTACTCGTGGGTTCTTGGATAGTCACATTCCAAGCCAAGAAGTTCAACTTGGTAAATTCAGAATCCCAAAGTTTAAGATCGAATTCGGGTTCGAGGCTTCAAGGGCTTTCAATGAATGGAATCTGGAAGAGGTTTCATTGCACCAGAAAGCTTTTGTCGAGATCGATGAAGATGGTGCAGAAGCTGCGGCTGTTACTATTATAGGAGCCAGGGGTGGGCGTGGTGGATTCCGCCCCAGGTTGATAGATTTTGTGGCTGATCATCCATTCATTTTTATGATTAGAGAAGACAAAACTGCATCAGTTTTGTTCGTTGGTCAAATCTTTGATCCTTCAAAATGTCCTGTCTAGGACCGGAGTTTACAGGATTTTTGGATTTTGGTACTATGTTAAGATTTTGTTTTAGGTAAAATTACAATATGCTAAATATGCTAAAATTACAATATTGTTTTCGGTAAATTTACAATATGCTATATATTTTAATAGATTTATTTTGAGTTTTCAGTATTTTCAATAACTTCGATGTTGGAACTTGAAGGATTTATAAATCTTTCTCTTTTTTTCTAAAAGGATTTATATATATTATTTTCTCTTATTTTTTTTTTCTTTTCCGTTGTTATCTCTACTTTCCGCACAAGATAGCCCTTGTGTATAAATAGAGATTTTCCTCTCATTTTTTTTCTTCATTCTAAAAGTTCCAAAAAAGCAGAGAAATCTTAATCTCTCTCTTCTTTTCCCTTTGGCTGTTTTTCTCCTTCTACGCTGCATTCTCTCTCTATCCTCCTTCCTTGGACGTGTCCATCTCTTCTTGGCGCTACCATGATGTTCCGCCGAGCCACTGTGATTCCGATGAGGCGTTTGAAGCTTTCCAACCATGCGCGTTTAGCTACCGCTTGGATCTGTCGTCTCCAGCCGCCATGATGTCTATGCCGCGAGTTCCTTTTTTCTTTTCCCCCAAACCGTTGTGCTATTGAGGCCAATGTGAGGATGAATCTGTGCTAAACTGTTGTGTTCTCGCTTTTTGTAATGTCTAGTTTGGGGTTAAATCAAACATAATTTTTTTTCTGCTTTAGAATGAACTCCCAGTTAGGTCTTGTTTAGGTTGCTGTTTGATTGTGTGGATCAACTACATGTGTTAGGGTTCTCGAAACTGAAGTTGCAAGAGATTAAAACGAATATTATTTGTGTATCATGCTTTGAGATGATTGTTTGCTGTGTGTTCTACTTATTTGTTGTTTGATCAGTTATAATTATAAAGAGGTAACGCGTCTAGCTCCTTGCCGGTTGGTTTTCTTAACCCCTTTACTACCGATTTACAACCAAGGGAAGTGCGGGTGTTATAGAGTGAATATGAAATATCTGAGTTTTATATAAAATATAATCTTGTATCTTTGAGCTATGTGAATCTGATATAATATCTCTAGATACACACTTTGTGTTATTTTTTTGTTAAAAACATTTTATGAAAAACCAAGATGTTTCACTTGAACAAAAACACTAGTTATATCTTCTCTATATATACTTTACACACATACAATATATGCTCAAAAGAAATTAACCGAAAACTTAAAAATAAGAGGAAATGCTTTAAAATATCTCAGAATGAGAAAATAATGTGAAACGGGTACTTCATTGAAGTTTGTTAAAATAATTTCTATTTTATGGTTTTTTAAATACTAGTGTTATTCTTCTAACTACTTTTACTTATAGCCTAATGGTAGAGTAATGAGAGACTATTGACAGACTAATTGATTTTACAATTGAATGTAAACTATTGACAGACTAACGACAGATTAAATGCAAATTATTAACAAACTAACAACAAATTAAAAACATACTAATAAACTCTTCTTTTGAATCATTTTAATAAAAATTATTTTTTGTAATAAAATTATCAAATGAATTATTTTATTAATTATCTCAAGCAATCACAAGTTATATCTTCGTTACATGAACAAGCCTTAGATTGTTTTCCGAAAATAAAGAACCCAAATGAACCAAGTTGTTAAATGTGTAGCCCAACTAGAAAAGAAGCCCATTGCGATAATACTATTTATGTGGTGGCTATATGTTAATGCTCACAGAGAAAAATAACAGAAAACCTAGAAGATGGATCCACAAGCGAAGAAACAAAAGCTTAGCACATCAGAAATCGCTAGTCCCTCTGTCTCCAACATGGAACTAGTCGAGAAGAAGAAAACGAGAAAGCAAAAGGTGGACGTGGGCAAAGCGATGAGGGAGCAAAACGACGCCGCTATGTTCCTTACGGAGAAAGTTATCTGTGCCGTGGCCAGAAACTCAAACTTCGTCTTCTCTCCGGCATCAATCAACGCCGCACTCACCATGGTCGCTGCTACCTCCGAAAACGAAACACTGAGATCCTTCATCTTCTCCATCCTTGGATCTTCCTCAATCGATGAGCTCAACGCCGTTTTTCACGAGATTGCTACAGTCGTCCTCGCCGACGGAAGCGAGAGCGGTGGCCCTAAGATCTCGGCCGTTAATGGAGTGTGGATGGATCAATCGATACCTTTGAATCCCTCCTTGAAGGACCTCTTTGAGAATTTCTTCAAGGCTGCTTTCTCTCAAGTTGACTTCCAATTGAAGGTTCGTTTCTAATTTTCACCTATTTCGATTTTGCTTTGATTATAATAGGTTAGTTATAGTTTGTGTGAAGCTGTAGAATAAAGGGCTTTGAGAAATTACATATTATCATTCAATGTTTTAAATTTTGAATTAGTGATTGCTCACTATAATATGTAAGCTGCGACTAGGAAACGAACATGCTGATAATTAGGTTATCTTAGGTTTTCTGCAGATATATCTTTTCGATTTTTCTTTGAGTATAAGAGGGTAAGAGTTTGTTCACTAAATTATGTGACAAATTCTGATGAAACTAACCTTTATATATGTCAACACAGCGTGAGCAAGTGCGCAAGGAGGTGAATTCGTGGGCTTCAAAGCACACCAATGGTCTCATCGAAAGTATTCTTCCTCCTGGATCGGTCAAGAGTGACACCATATGGATTTACGGAAACGCATTGTACTTCAAAGGAGCCTGGGAACACAAATTCCGCAAGCCTTTGACGAATGACAGAGACTTTCACCTTCTCAATGGCACCTCAGTCTCTGTGCCCTTCATGAGGAACCATAGGAAGCAATACATAGAGGCTTACGATGGTTTCAAGGTCCTTAAGCTCCCATTTCGACAATGCGGCGATATCAGTCGCCAGTTCTCAATGTACTTCTATCTCCCTGAAGCCAATGATGGATTGGATGATCTGGTGAAGAGAATGGCCTCTACTCGTGGGTTCTTGGATAGCCACATTCCAAGCCAAGAAGTTCACGTTGGTGAATTTAGAATCCCAAAGTTTAAGATCGAATTCGGGTTCGAGGCCTCAAGGGCTTTCAATGAATGGGATCTGGAAGAGGTTTCATTGCACCAGAAAGCTTTTGTCGAGATCGATGAAGATGGTGCAGAAGCTGCGGCTGTTACTGCATGCAGGGGTGGTGGGCGTGGGCGTGGACCGAAGAGGATTGATTTTGTGGCTGATCATCCATTCCTTTTTATGATTAGAGAAGACAAAACTGCATCAGTTTTGTTCGTTGGTCAAATCTTTGATCCTTCGAAATCTGCTTCTGTTGTCTAGGACCGGATTTGACAGGATTTTTGGATTTTGGTACTATGTTAAGATTTTGTTTTAGGTAAAATTACAATACGCTAAATATGCTAAAATTACAATATTGTTTTAGGTGAAATTACAATATGCTATATATTTTGATAGATTTATTTTGAGTTTTCAGAATTTTCAATAACTTCGATGTTGGAACTTAAAGCTTTGCGCTAAATACCCTTTTATCCATTCATAGGTGAATGCTTTTACATGTGAAAAATTAACATCTGTGATTCTGATCTTTGGACTCGTTGATAGTATCTCAAGTCTCAACTCCGACAGTAACTTGAGAGCCAAGGAAATAAAACAAACTTGTGCAGCAAGCAGTAAATCAAATACTAACAAGTAAGAAGCAATTTTCAGTATTTTAATTTTCAACGGAAAAGCAAAAAATTATATATATGAACAAACTAAATATGTAAATTATCTTTAAGTGAGCTAAAAACTGTATCATAAAAATAGCAAATCTTATAGAATTAAGTTAGATAGATCTTTTTATTTTAAAACCGACTATATACACCAAAAAGGCCAAAACCCTACGTTCTATTTTGATCGCTTCTATATACATATGTGTGTCTCCTCACAAAGAAATAAACCAAAACGTTCAAAGATGGATTCGAAAAAGAGAAAGCAAAAGCTTAGCACATCTTCAGAAAAAGCAGATCCTTCTCTCTCAAAGATGGATCGCAAAAAGAAGAAAAAGCAAAAACTCAGCAAATCGCTAGTAATCGCTAGTAATCGCAAGTCCCTCCTCTGTCACAGAGATTGACGTGGGAAAAGCGATGAAGAAGCAAAACGACGTCGCTATGTTCCTTGCGGGGAAAGTAATCTCTACCGTAGCCAGAAACTCTAACTTTGTCTTTTCTCCGGCGTCAATCAACGCCGTCTTAGCTATGGCGGCTGCCAGCTCCGGCTCCGAAGACGTCGTCAAAGATACCCTCTCCTTGCTCAGATCATCCTCAATGAATGAGCTCAGCGCTGTATATGGCGAGATCGCTTCAGTGGTTCTCGCCGACGGCAGCATGAGCGGTGGCCCCAAAATCGCAGCGGTTAATGGAGTCTGGGTGGAGAAATCACTCCCGTTTAGTCCCTCGTCTAAGGATCTCTTGGTGAATTCCTTCAAGGCTAACTTCGCTCAAGTCGATTTCAAATCAAAGGTCATCTTCCACTCCTTGTTACTTTTAGGGTTTTTCTAGGGGTTTGGATCTTGGAATATATCCAAGAAATTAGCAAAATTACATCAAGATAATTGAATACAAGATCTATTTGATTTAATTTTAGGACAGAGGGTCTAGAGAGGACCTAAACTATATACATCTCAAACTGAAATAAAATATTGTTCCTATTCTGAATTTGAGTTAGCAATTAAATACAGCTAGACTTGCTATGATATATAGTTTTTAGTAGTTTTTGGTACTAAAACTAAAATTAAGTCGGTTCGGTTTTGGTGTTTTGAAAAAGGCTGAACAAGTGCGTATGGAAGTGAATGAATGGGCTTCAGATCACACCGATGGTTTCATCAACAATCTTCTTCCTCCTGGATCCGTTACAAGATGGACCGAATGGATTTATGGAAGCGCAATGTACTTCAAAGGAGCTTGGGCACACAAATTCAGCAAGTCAATGACAAGAGACGAAGACTTTCACCTTCTCAATGGAACCTCAGTCTCTGTACCATTCATGAGCAGTGGTGAGAAGCAATACATAGAGGCTTACGATGGTTTCAAGGTCCTTCAGCTTCCTTATCGACAAGGCCACGATGATACCAACCGCGAATTCTCAATGTACTTCTATCTACCCGACAAGAAAGATGGACTGGATAGTCTTTTGCAGCAAATGGCATCTACTCAAGGATTCTTGGACCGTCACATTCCGAGCCGTGAAGTTAAAGTTGGAGAATTAAGAATTCCAAAGTTTAAGATCGAATTCGGGTTTGAAGCTTCAAAGGTTTTCGATGATTTGGAACTCAAAGTATCATTGTACCAAAAGGCTTTGATCAAGGTCGATGAAGAAGGCACTGAAGCTTTCGCTGCAGCTGCTTTCGTTGGCAGATACTTCGGTTGCCGTTATGTGCCAATGATAGATTTTGTGGCTGATCATCCATTTCTTTTCTTGATTAGAGAAGACCAAACCGGGACCGTTCTGTTCGCTGGTCAAATCTTAAATCCTTCCATATCTTCTCCTACTTAGGACCGGCGTTAACCGGATTAGGGTCTGGTATTAATTTTTCTGAGTTAGAACCGATATTGTTTTGTGTCTGGTTGGTACTGAGTTAGGAAAATATTCAGGACCGGATCATTTTTATTGATACTTACAATTTTTTAAGTTATAATATTAGTTTATTTTACTATTATTTTTTAATTATAACATAAATGCCAAGAAAATTTTAAGTTTTTTTGAAAATTATTAATACCTTTAATACGGTTTAGGTTATTATTACCTTTGCATGTGCTGCTTGCTCTCCACGGAAACAATTTACAGTAGAGTCGCTTTGTTTTTTTTAATAAAACATACGATCTCAGATGTGTTGTATATACATAACTAATCACACCCCTAATTAACATTTAATCACCATCGTGACGACGACTTTTGGGTCATTTAAAAAACTATCCAAATCAAATTGTTGACTATATAAACCACGTCAACTCTTTCACAAGTAGTAACCTCTCTCTCTCTCTCTCTCTCTCTCTCTCTCTCTCTCTCTGCAGGAAAAAATGGATGTAAGAGAATCTATGAAGAAGCAAAACGAAGTCGCGTTGTTCCTTGCGAGGCACGTCTTCGCCTCAGAGGCCAAACACTCTAACATCGTCTTCTCGCCTGCCTCAATATACTCCGCGCTCACTCTGGTGGCTTCTGGTCCCGGCGATCCCTCAGCCGCCGATGAGATCCTCTCCTTCCTCAAGTCTTCTTCGACCGATGAGCTCAACGCCGTCTTCACCGAGATCGTTTCCGTCGTCTACGCTTGCGGTAGCGCAAACGGCGGGCCAGAGATCTCGTCGGTCAACGGCGTATGGATCGAGAAATCTCTCTCGATTGATCCCAAGTTCAAGGATCTCTTCGAGAATTTCTTCAAAGCTTCTTTCGATCGCGTAGATTTCCGATCAAAGGTAATTTCTTTTTAAATTGTTGAATATCCTCTACCTAATATTAATTATTGAGAATGTAGTTTAATAAAAATTGCTGATTTATTTTAATTGGATTGGTTAATATTTTTAGTTTAAGCAATTTTAACGTGACATGAAAATGATGATGTATAATTGTGATGTAATTGTGACATGTCAGTTTTTAGTACATATGGCTTGTGACATAACAATATTTAATTTTTAAAGAAAATTTGATGTTAAAAATTTGATTCAAATAAGTACTAAACTTTTTGACAAAAATTTGGGAAAATTATAATTTTCGCCGGATATTTTTTGATATTACATTTTTGGCATAAAAATTATGGATTCAAAATATTTGACAAAAAGTCACGAAATCAAATTAAAATACTCTAAAATAAATATTTTGGTGGGAAAATTACAATTTCATGTTTTTGGCAGATATTTTCTGAAATCGGGTTATCACGGAAGTTTTTAAAAATTATATTTTTAAGTAAGTTTTTTTGTGGAAATTTATGGTTTCACTTATTTGATAGAAAATTCATGAAATCAAAATTTTGACTGATAACTTTTGGAATCATATTTTTAATGTAAAGTTTTTGATGAATTTTTTTTTATGGATTTCTTTTTTCGCGGGAAAATTACAAAATCAGAATTTTGATAAAAGTTTTTGGATCATATTTTTGATATAATTATTTTGGTGCGAAAGTTACTTATTCATGTTTTTGACAAAAACTTTGTGAAATCAGTTTTTGATTGAGATTTTTGAAATCTTATTTTAAATAAGCCTTATGCAAACTATTACAAGCTCGAGTGTTTCTATGAAATTTGCGGAATCAGATCTTTAAAAGAAGAATTTATTCACTTTTATTATCATCTTATCTTATCCTATTATAAATAAAAAAACAAAAGTTTATATTATATATAAATGTATTCTAATTATATAGCAAGAATTACGAACCCAAAATGAGACAAAATGTGACAGAATGAAATAAAAAAAAAACTATAACAGATCTAAAATATGAATAAAAATAAAAAATGAAGATTAACGAATAATCATTTTATTTTATTTTATGGGTTTTTAAAGTATTTTAAATTTTGTATATATTTTATTTTTTGCTATATACAATTTGTCAAATCTATTAAATTATTTTTTTCACAAACTTAAAATTTATACAAATATATTATTGAACTGGTCAATCATTTATTTATTATAATTTATATATTATTAATTAATTAATTTTATTAAAATTTTCATGTCAGCACATATGTGCGGGACAACCACCTTTAAATTTGAATTGTGGTAAAACCAGCTTGATGATGAATGAATTTTTTTTTTTTTTTTAAAAGGCTGAAGAAGTGCGTATGGAGGTCAATTCATGGGTTCAAGATCGCACCAATGATCTCATCAAAAATCTTCTTCCCGATGGTTCCGTTACAAAAGAAACCGAACGGGTTTACGCAAACGCGTTGTACTTCAAGGGAACTTGGAAAAATCCCTTTGATGAGGACGACACAAGAGACAGAGACTTTCACCTTCTCGACGGCTCATCAGTGTCTGTGCCGTTTATGAGCAGCAACGAGGACCAATACATAACGGCTTACGATGGTTTCAAGGTTCTTAGGCTCCCTTACCTCCGAGGCTATGGTGATACCAGCCGCGAATTCGCAATGTATCTTTACTTGCCAGACAAGAAAGATGGATTAGATGATCTTGTGGAGATTATGGCATCCACTCCTGGATTCTTGGATAGTCACATTCCAAGACGTGAAGTTGAAGTTGGAGCATTCAGGATCCCAAAGTTCAAGATCTCGTTCGGGTTTTTGGTTTCGAGGATTCTCAATCGATTGGGACTGCGTTCAACGTCGTTGTACCATAAAGCTTGTATTAAGATCGATGAGTCAGGCGTTGAAGCTGCGGCTGCCTCTGCTGATGAAGCTTGTGGCTGTTATCTTGGTATGGAGCCTCCAAAGAGGATAGATTTTGTGGCTGATCATCCATTTCTTTTCTTGATCAGAGAAGACAAAACTGGAACGGTTTTGTTCGTTGGTCAAATCTTCAATCCCTTGGAATCTTCCTAGGCTCTCCCAATCGCAAAACACGTTTCAGCTGCGATTTGAATATTGTAAAAGCGTTTTCAGTTAAGTGCATGTGATTGGTTAAATTGTGTATTCATGTTTCATTTTATTAAATGAAAAAATCTACTATATATAGATGTTATGCTTTGTGCATTCATGAGATGAGACATCATTCAAGGATTTTCTTTTCTGATAAAAAAAAGTCTTAACCTAGAACAAAGAAAAAGAGCAATCAAATGCTAAGGATTTAAGTCATTTTCCGATTATGATAAGGTTTTTGTTATGATGTAGAATTCATGATAGTTTTATTGTCTTTTTCGATTTTTAGAAGGTTAGAAATTGTTGTTTTTGATTCGTCTGTACTTCTTGCGAATTATGGGTTACCTAAATTTTTTGATTTAAGACTCGCACAAAAAAAAACACTGTTTTTACTTCTTTTTTTTTTTCACTGTTTTTATTTAATCTTGCTAAGAAGCCGGTTCTTGTTAGCTCACGAAGAATGCATTTTGATTCTTCATACACCTCTTTCGTTTCCAACAAGAGTTTTCCATAAATAAAATATCACCTCATAAGAAAACTCTTTTCTATAAGAAGAAATCCTAATTTCTTGATCATCAAGATTCTGAGACCCGTCGTTGCGCAGGTAAGTCGAGAATCCGATTATTGATTTTTTTCTTTTTTTTTTCCCTTTCAACGTGAGATGGATTGATGAAAGAATTACAGTTTTACCGTGGAGGAAGATCATTTGGGTGTCGCCACTCTCGTAGTAACAATGGTAACGTTCTCTGTTCGTTTCCATGTATTTCTTTTCGGATTTTGTTGATTCTTCTCTTCGATTGTAGAGCCGATGGTAGAAACAAGGACACTTGTCAGAGTCTTCGTAAATTTTTGTGCAGCAGTGTGTGTGTGGTGGGGATTTGGTATGTAGAAATAGAGAGAGTTTTTAACCATTTTGAATTTTTTTTCTCCATGATTTAATCAGCTTACTGATCTTTATGTTGTCAGAATCTCATATATCCAAGATAAGAAAGGAAAATGATAAGATGTGGCAAGACGTCAAGGCAAAAAAAAAGGAGGAAAAAAGGAAGGAGACATTACAAGAAGTGCAAATAAAAATCGAACACAAATCATCGTCTCAATAAAGATAAAAACATTTATAACCTCAGATTTGTTCTATACATTTATCTCTTGGGAAATTGGGGTTAATAGAGCGATTAAACCATGAATAATATGCTTTAATTACACGACTAGTTAACATTTAATCACAAATCAGAAACTCTGGTGAGGAATTGAAGTTGTCGAAGGAGAGGACTAAGAGTCTCCATGAGCTTCTCACAAGGATGATTATGAACACCTTCATAGGTTGTTACGACAACGTTTGGATCTTTTGCCAATCTTTGCACTTGTTTCTTCACGTTGCATGTATGGTACGTACATCTGTAATAGCTCCTGCAGTTTTTTTTACCAAAACAAATGAAGAATAAAAAAACAAATGAATAATAAATTAAGTCCATATATGATGTTGTATTTAAGAAGCTATGTGCCAGGTTAATATGTAATCGATAACTTCAGATAATAGATCCTTGTAATTTTGGGTATATTGATTAAGTACATGCATTTCGAATTTTTAAACCTAATTCCAAAATTAAACTTTGGGTTAATTTGGATTTGCTTAACCATTATCCAAACTATATATACATTATACTTAGACCGGACGAACGGCAACAGCCAAATCATGTTTGTTTCACTATAAAACCAAAAAAGTATGTTTCTATCATTATAACATATTCATCATTACATTTCTTACATGTTTCGACTATGCTTTTTTTAACGTTATCATTAATGATATATCGCCGAAACATTTTAGCTAATCTTAACATGTGTGATGTGTCGACCAGGGCCGACTAAATTAAATATTAACCAACAAGAACGAGTAACGTTTGTTAGGAGCAGCAAACAAACAGGCCCATATTGTTCTGTTTTATATTTTTGTTGTTAAACTTATGACATAATGATCCTATTAAGGGTATGCCATGTATTTACTTGGAAAAAAAATTAGTTTTAGTTATCGATACCAATTTCATTTTGGATTAACCAATCCGAAATAAACACCCCTAGTTCAAGATACGAGCAATAACGTACGTAACACATTTGACTTTAATCGTTTAGGTTGTTAAACTAATATTTCCAACCAAGATACACACGTGACCAAGAGTACATGTGTAAAATATATTCTTAATTAGGTCAATTTCGAAATCTACTTTAACGATGTCATAATTTCATCAAACACACATTAATAAATGTATCAAGTGTAATAATTAAGTAAAAGAAAAACCTGGGATGAGCATTGTTCTTAACAGATTTCTGACCGTATTTTCGCCACCGATAACCATCATCAAGAACATCATCATCACTCCGTGTTTGAAACGCAATCCTTTGCATCGCCGATGATCTCTTTCCTTTCCCTTTGTTGTTCTTATTGTGATCACTTAATCCTCCCATCTCTCCTCCTTCTCCTCCTCCATTTTGAAAGTTCTCTGGATGCTGAGCAGCAGGTATATGAAAACTCGCCGGAGAACAAGAAGAAGAAGATGGGTCCATATCGCCAGGAAACATTAACGAAGGAGTCATCATCAATAAAGTTTTGTCGTCAAAGGAAGAAAAAGGGTTGTTTTCGCCTTCTTCTAGTGTTAACATCGGGTTTGTATCCTCCACCACTTCCATTGTTTATAAAGCTTTCTCTTTCTAAATCTCTCTCTCACGCATATACACTATATGTATGTGTGTTTACGTATATATATGTGCATATATCAAGAAGAAGGAGAAGAGAAGAAGAAAGGTTTATAAGGATATTTGTAAGGAAGAAAGAAGAAGAATGAGTAAAAGGGTATAACATTGAGGCCAACTATATTCACCTAACTTTTCTGTTCAACTGCCTTAGTCTCTCCTCCTTTTCCTAGCTATTTATCTCTTCTTCCCCTTCACAAAGTTTTTGTATCAATATTTATTATTTAGAATCATATATTTATATAAATCCCTTAAACTGTATGTAATATGCCAAATTAATTTAATTAAAATTTAAAGAGTAAATATCTGTATCAAGGAAAAAATGAACAAAAAGTCATTTTGACAACGATGGTATATGTTGATTATACAATATTAAATGTTTATATTACGGCAACAATAATAATTAAGATCTTTATGATGTTAATGTTTTTGTGATATAAAGCAATCAAACATATCTAATTATATTAGTGGTCAAGGTTTCGAGTTGATGTTTTGTTTTCCCATGACAAAGGGAATATTTGGTAATGGCTTGATTAGCTTATAAATTTTAACGTAACAGGTTAAATAACAGTGTACTTTCTTTGATTTCATACGTGTGGTAAGTTATGTATAACATAAATCAATTTGACATATGTAGTTTGGTCCTTTTGGCTTAAGTGTTTGGGCATTAAATACGGATAAACGAACTTAAGCAAAATATTGTGGTTGTAGTTGTTAGGAAAAGGAATGTTTGGGCATATCTCATTTGACCGGTCGAAGAATTCTAAATTAAAAAAATTCACAATTAAAACTATGCTAATTCATGCATGCACGTGGAAGCTTATCGTATCACGAACTACATACATCAAATCAAATGTTCATAGATCTCTTTTTTCAGTATGTTTTTCTACTTTTTAAAACGTGATTTTCCCGGTTCAACTTACTGCTACATTTTTTGACACACTAGGGTTTTATAATATTCTGTAAAGTATGCTTGAGCAAATAAGTCAAATTTGCATTAAGTATGAGTAAAATTTGTTTTTTTATCAAGAAAAAATCATGAACTGCATGCCGGGTTCTTATGCTTGAAACGGCATACAGTCTACAAGCACTGCTCGTGATTAAGTGCAATCTTAAAACTTTGCGCGCCTCTCTTCTCTCTCTCTCTCCCTCCCAACAGAACTCAAATCAATTTCACTGAAGATTTCAAAAGAGAGATTGGAAGCGGAAAAAATCTCTGAAAATGGAGGAAAACTCAGGACTATCATCCATGAAGTTCTTCTCCGATCAACACCTCTCTTACGCTGATATTCTTCGTCCTCACGAAGTAAGTTTCGCTGCCGATCATCAGAATTCGCTATCTTCTTCCCGGTTTTTATTTCATTTTTTTCGAATCTCGTGGTTCCGATTTGAAATTGAAGATTGATTTTACAGGCTCGTGCTAGAATCGAAGTTTCTGTTCTCAATCTACTCAGAATTTTGAATTCCCCAGATCCAGCCATCTCTGATCTCTCTCTGGTACTGTAATTTCCGGCAACTAATCTCCTGAATCCACTTTCTTAAATTTCCATCGTGAGATCTTAGCGATCCCCAAATTAGTCGAGCGAAAATCGTTGTTACGATCCTGGGTGCTTTCTCGACTCCGAGATAAGTTCTGGGTTTTTTGAATTGCTGTGATAGAAAATTGAAATTCTCGTTTGACAGATCAATAGGAAGAGAAGCAATAGCTGTATAAACCAAGGGATACTCACGGATGTTTCATACATATTCCTCTCTACCTCATTTACTAAGAGTTCCTTGACGAATGCAAAAACAGCCAAAGCTTTTGTTCGCGGTAATCGCTCAGTGTTTTTCTTATATTGTTCATCCGAAAATCTGATTGAAATCTGATTATTTTGAGTTGTACTCAAATTGTAGTGTGGAAAGTTATGGAAATATGCTTTCAGATTCTGCTTCAAGAGAAACGAGTGACACAAAGAGAGCTGTTCTATAAATTGCTTTGTGATTCACCAGAATACTTTTCATCTCAGATTGAAGTCAACAGAAGCGTCCAAGGTCACTTCAATGTCACGATTCATGCTTAATCTAAAGAGTTTTTGATCCGAACACGATGTTGATGATTTTGTTTTCTGACTGTTTTATACAGATGTGGTTGCACTTTTACGTTGCAGTAGATACAGTCTTGGGATTATGGCTTCTAGCAGAGGCCTTGTTGCTGGAAGATTATTTCTACAAGTGAGTAATCAATCTCTTTGCTCTATGCTGGTTTTTTTGTCGATGAACACTTATTATGTTTTGTGATCTCTGTCCATTTATTTTCGTTAGGAACCAGATAAGGAAGCTGTAGATTGTTCAGAATGTGGTTCTTCAGGTTTTGCTATATCAGGGGACATTAATTTGCTAGACAACACCATCATGAGAAGCGATGCTCGGTACATCATTGTTGTGGAAAAGGTATATAATTCTTGATCCAATCAAGGACATATGACAATAATGTAATATAGTTCGTATTAAGTCAGTCACTCCTGGATCTGTTTTCAGCATGCGATATTTCATCGGCTTGTGGAAGATCGAGTGTTCAATCACATTCCTTGTGTGTTCATCACTGCGAAAGGGTATCCGGATATTGCCACAAGGTCGATTCTTTTTAACTTCGGTTACAGTACCATGTTTGCAATGGAGTCATTGATATTGAAGTAGCTTGGAATGTTGAAAATGTTTTTAGGTTTTTCCTTCATCGGATGAGCACAACATTTCCCGATCTGCCAATTCTTGCTCTAGTAGACTGGTGAGGATAAACAAACATTCTCCTCTTTGTTTAGATAAAAGTTTAGTGCTCATAAGTTCACAACTGAGAAGTCTATTACAAAATTGTAAGGAATCCAGCTGGGTTAGCTATACTATGCACCTTCAAGTTTGGAAGCGTGGGAATGGGTCTTGAAGCTTACAGATATGGTAAAAAGACTCACTGTTTGCATCAGACCATCCCACACAAGTCTCTGTAATGATTGTTTTTGCTTTGTCTCAGCTTGCAATGTGAAGTGGATTGGGCTCCGAGGAGATGATCTGAATCTGATACCACAAGAGTCTTTGGTTCCCTTAAAGCCGAAGGACTCACAAATTGCTAAGAGCTTATTGTCTTCCAAAATCTTGCAGGTAACTAAACTTAGCAGATATCAGTAGTAATGTTCCATTGGAAGAAGTGAGATTCGATTCCATAATTTACGAGTTAAAATTCGACTTAAATTTCTGATCAGGGAAACTACAGAGACGAGTTGTCACTGATGGTTGAAACTGGAAAGAGAGCTGAAATTGAAGCTCTGTATTGCCATGGTTATGATTATCTTGGTAAATATATAGCCACCAAGATCGTGCAGGGCAAATACATATAATTCTACAGAAACCATCTAAGAAAGTCAACCAAACCAACAAAATGTGTTCGCTTTATTTTAATAAAAATATCGGTTGAATATGTAAGACATTAATAACTTATGAAGGTGAAGTTTTATTGAAAAACTCATAGAATGTATAAAATAGATTACAAACAAATCAAAATTTCCAAAGTTATAGGATAATCTTTGTTATACAAAGGTGATGATTAAGTAACAAAACTTGTCCTAATCTCCACTGTCCTATGCAGGAGGTATAATGATAAATTCCAACAAAAATTGCCCTCACTTCTTTTTTGATACGAGACTGATCTTCTTTCCCTCCACAACAAACTTCCCATTTCGTTCCAGCTGTAACAAAGAGGTTATAACAACATCAGTAAAATTGACATCGGTTACCTTTGTTAACTTTTTATAATGAAAAAAAAAATGAGAGATCCTCTTATAAAAAGATGATTTCGTATACAAACTCTACCATCATGTTCTTTATTTTCACATCCGATGAACTTCATATATCAGTGCAAGTAAGCACAAGCACTAATAAAAGAGATTTGGAACAAGGTAAGCTAAGGTTTGCATTTACCTTAAGTTTCAAGTAAGCAATAGCATCTTTGCTTGAAGAGAACTCTGACAGAACTGATGGTGCTTGTTCATCAATTAGAGATTTAAGCTGTTTCAGCTTCATGGATCCACCACTACCAGCATCCTGAGAATGTTTTTGCACATTCACCAATAAGAGGATATGGGAGAGATGCTATAGACGAAGACAATACTGTTCAAAGCGCAAAGTGACAACGTACCTTTTTAAGAATCTGCTTGCACAGGTTCTTTAACTTGATTTTGGGTTCAACGATTTCATCGTGCTTCCTTTTCGCTGGCAGAGAATTATGGATTACAGAGTTGTCTTCACTAACTTCCTCCTCTTCCTCTTCTTCTTCTTCTTCTTCCTCTTCGTCATCATCATCATCATCATCACTGTTACCAAAAGACGTCTTCTTCCCTTGGAAATGAACACCGGCTATTTTCTTCGGTCGGTCTTTGATACCCAATCCTTGTTTTCCAGACGTGGCTTTATCCTGCAAACATTTCACGGCGTTAAGACACCAAACCCTGTTTTCCAAGAACAGCTTGTAAAGAAGAGGGGGGGGGGGGGGGGGGGGGGGGGGGGGGGGGAGACAAACACACATACCTGAACCATGTTGTAGAGATTCTCTTGATCGTCCTCACAAAACATTTTTCTCTCATTTTTCTCAGATGACTTCTTTTTGCCAGACTTGGCTCCAAGAAGACCGCCCGAGACAAACCCAGATTTAAATCCCCACCAGTCCGCAGAAGGCTCTTCGATTTTCTGTTCTGTTCAGTCCAAAAGATCCATATGCTTTCAGCTCCAAGAACAAAAACTACTGAAAGTCACACCATTTCAAGATTTAAGGACATATAAAATCACCTTTAACACTAGCATGTTGGTCCTCGGATATAATTTCAATCTCCATAGTATCGGCTGTGTCGCAAACCACCGGCTCCTCAGTCCGTTTAACCTATAGTGAGATATTGTAGCCTGAGTAAGTTAGACTATCACTTTCATAATGCGGTTTGTTCGCATAATGGTTATAACACAGAAAAACCCAAATTCATGCACGAATTCACAATATGCACTTACCAATATTCCTTCAAGATCTTTAGACGAGTAAGAATTGACAAGCTTCCCTTTCTCTCTACGTTTATACCTAAACCCATGAACAAAACTCAAAAAATTCAAAAACCATGCAATTACAAATTTGCCAGAGAGTGCTAATACGAAAGGAAAAAATCTAACAACCTTCCTTGTGGACGAGTGACTTTAGCAACGGTCTTCGACTTGGCAGGCTCAGATTTGGCAGCATCGTCCTCACTTTCAGCTTCCTTCTCTGAATATGCCACAAAGAAAAAAAGAATCATAAGGATAATTAAACTTCCATAATCAAGGAAGAACTTTAGTTAACAAGAAGTAGTTTTACCATCATCATCCTTGTCAGACTTGCTAGGTGCTGCTTGCTGCAAATAGCACCCATGGAAGAAGAAGATCAAAATTACAATCGTTTCCAAATTTTTCAAAGAGCTAAATAGAAAAAAACAAAGATGGACAAAGCCATTACCACTTTCAATTTCTTGAGAATGTTATCGAACTGAGTTGTATCAAATGCCCATGGATTCGGCTTATCAACTCCAACACCTGCTCCCAATGTCAAGTTTTTAATCATATAACATAAACCATTGATGCGTATACACACATTTCACTAAACTAGAGGAACTTAAATCTGTAATCGCCATTACATAAACCTATACGCTAGAGAGAATTAAGTAGAAGAAGAAACGAACCAGTTGTATCTTGTTTGTTCTTCACTCTCACATATTCTTTGATCCCTTGCTTATCTTTACCAAGTCCTTCTCCTTCTTCCCAGCCCTAAAAATCATCATTCCCAAAAATTAGGTCTCTATAAAATATCAACGCTTCGATCATTTAGTAAAAAAATATACTCACCATCGATTTCATAAGCCGGAAGGCGGCGGATTCCTTTAAGATTCCGACATACTTAATCGGAGCTTCCGGCGCTGCCATCTTCTCTTCTAAATTCCCGGCGATCGATTGAACACAATCCGCCGCCGTTTCCTTGGAGCTCAGGAGCGGTGTGGAAGAGAAGAGGGGGCGAGGGAATTTTGTGGAAGCTGGGAGGAGAAAACCTAAAGCGAAACAAGTGATGAGCAATTATACTCTACGACGCGGCCTTTTGTAAAGTTTAGTGGAAATGCAACCTGATCGACGGTAGATATCCCTTCAAATTTTGAAATGGGCTTTTGTATAGGCCCAAAAAGTATTTACAAATTTTTGCACTTAAGAAACCCATAAAAGCCCAACTTAAAGCTTCCATGTAAATGCTGAATTATTTAATTTACAACTGGAAATTATCCAAAAATATTAATAATCTTCAAATATCAAAATATCACATAGACAAAAAGATATTAAAAACTGCTAATTTTATGAGTTGGAAAATTTAGAATTTTACCCCCAAAAATATTTTATTGACAAAAATAAAGAATTTTCCACCACTTAATTTATTTATTTTAAAAAAATAAAGTAAAGTGTAGTTGCCGATTGATTAGGAGAGAAAAATCCGAGAAGAAATGGCTATGGCTACTTGTACTCAGCTATCTTCTTCGCCTTTGTTGCACTCTCAAATTTCCAAAAAGCCATTCCTTCTCTCGGCGGCGAAGATCGACGGCCGTCATGGTTTCTCTTTACGGAGGCCCAACTCTCTCTCGTTATCCCGTCGTCATTCAGTCTCACCTTTGGCCGCGTCTTCCGCCGTCGGCGTCAATGAACCGGTGACTTCAGAGAAATCAACCAGAACTCTTCCGTTTCGAGTCGGTCACGGTTTCGATCTGCATCGGTTAGAGCCAGGGTACCCTCTGATCATCGGCGGGATTGATATCCCTCACGATAGAGGCTGCGAAGCTCACTCCGATGGTAAAATTTCTCGGAATTTGATTTAGCGAACTCGTCTCTTTGATTTTTAGATTGGGTTTTAGGTTTTTGAATTGAGATTTGAACTTGTTGGTTGATGTGGGGATTGGTGCAGGCGATGTGTTGCTCCATTGTGTAGTGGATGCAATTCTGGGAGCTTTAGGGCTTCCTGATATCGGTCAGATTTTCCCTGATTCTGATCCTAAATGGAAAGGAGCTGCTTCATCTGTCTTCATCAAAGAAGCTGTAAGCTTTCGTAGCTTAACACCTTTATGTTCAATCTTGTGTGAAATCGTTGCTTACAGTACAGCTCTCTCTTGAAGACTGATTTTTTCTGCGGTAATTATGTAGAATGGTTTAGAATTTGTAAGCTAGATCCATAGGTTGATGGAATCTACTCAGTTTTTAAGTTGTTGGTTAGTATCAAGGTTCTGTGATGCTCCTGAGTAGAATCTTATCATCTCTAGAAAGTATAGGAGATGTAGGGATCAAATCGGTTTTTGAACTTTTTTTCAGAGCTTTCCTCAGGAAGAGAACATGTGATCCCTGACTCAACTATTGTGATCACTCAAGGAGGCTATGTATAATCATGCACAGTCTTTGCATAATTCAATTTTTATCAGTTAAATTAGGTTTCCTACATCTTGGGTTGATAAATAATAGAACAAGTCTCTTATTGTTTACATTTCCTCAGAGGCAACAACATATAGAATTGGCGTTTTTAAGTAAACAGTTTCTTGCAATATGTTTGTTAAGTTCAAAACCATGATTGACACTGTGAATGTTGATTGCATGGAAGCGAATGTGAATAAAAGCTATAAACTTGAAATGGTGATCACTTGTAATGAGGTTTGTATAGTTATAACAGACAAAATCTCTGGTTCTTGTCGGTATGAAAAAGTGTTTCAATGAACTTGACGCAAGTTTTTTTTGTTTGTCTTAATGTTTCAGGTGAGACTCATGGACGAGGCAGGGTACGAGATAGGAAACCTAGATGCGACATTGATTCTACAGAGACCAAAGATAAGTCCACACAAAGAGACAATTCGAACCAACCTGTCGCAGCTTCTCGGAGCAGACCCTTCTGTAGTGAACCTTAAAGCCAAAACCCATGAAAAAGTTGATAGCCTCGGAGAAAATAGAAGCATTGCGGCTCACACTGTTGTTCTCCTCATGAAGAAGTGAGTCAATTTTCATCATATTCCTTAATGTATCAATCTCCTTAAAAGTTAATGTACATTGTTTTTAATGTAATCACCCTTTAGACTTTAGGGCCTTGTTAATCCCATTTTAGAAAAAGCGAAAACCGAATCATGTGGTGATCATACATTGAAATGGAAAAATGATTGTGATGTCTTGGTCAGAGTTGAATAATATTGGAAACTATGACTTTTTAGCTGGAAGTTTCTTGTGACGCAATTTTCTTCGTCTGTCATTTTCATCACATGAAAACTGTGATGTTTTTATGTGTATACATTTGTTTTTAGTTGTCTTTTTGATTTAGTAACTCTGGTTAATCAAGCGAACACAACTAAATTAATAGTGACATATATAACATCCATAATAAATTATAAAACATCCTTAATCGTCAACTGAAACACAGAAGTCAAGGTCAAACTCCACTTTTAACAAACAATAGCTTAAGAGATTACACAGCCATGGTTATTATCATGATCGCAGACAACACTGTAATGATGGAGAGGAGGATTAAGATACTGGTTTCCATGGTAAGCCTGGATAGGAGGAGGATTAAGAAACTGGTTTTCACGGTGAGCCTGGGATCTCTGGCGTTCGGCTTCTTCTTTCCTCTTCTTTTCTGCAGCAGCAGCGGTTTCGGCTTCTTTTTTCGGATCGTAAGGTCCAAATGTAGCCAATTCAGCAGTTCCCCATCTCCTTTCGAGCTTGCCAAGGATCCTCGTGACGTCTAACTCTCCAATCACCGTTAGTTTCCCATCGTTTGAGTCCATAGTAATCGTTGTAATCCCTAAAATAGAAAGAGATCAAGAAACCCAAAATGAAACCCAAAACCATATAGCTTATGAACAAGAAAAAGGGTCATTTTCCGTCTTTTTTTGTTTGTGGGGGTTTCAATTCATAAAATCATAATCCATAAACCCAAAAATAGACTGTGTGTAATCAAAAGCTCTGTTTTTCAATAAAAAAACTCATGACAATCTTTTCTTTTGGGAGGTTTCATGACAAAGTCACTTGTTGTTTAACAAAGTTTTGTCTTTTCAATTAAAAAAAAAACTAAAATTGTTTGATGATTGACGTGATACCTGGATACTTAGCAACTGTTCTGATGATTTTCTCCTTTGATCTCTCGTCATTAACATGCATCATCACCACCATCTTCTGCAGAAAGTTTGAGAAAAAGAAGAAGCATCACTAATTAACTCCCAAAGTTTATATAAATCAAAGAGACTATTTTCTCGTATTTTGTAAACCAAAGAATGTACCTTCATTTTCTTAGTAGAAGAGAGCCGAGTATGAGAGAAATTATACAGTCGATGCTTTTATTCCAAGCCGATGATCGTTTTATATACCAAACACCAAACAAGAGCGTGGAGCTCAGTTGCGAGACCTGAGTGTGGGATTTTTAAAGCTTCACTTTTTGTATTCCGTGTTCATCTGTGTTCTGTGGCAATTTTTCTACTCTTTAGGCAAATGATGTGTGATGCTCGATCATTAATCCTTTCTATATTTAGTAACTACTCTCTGCTACTTTTTCTTTTGTCAAAGATTCTTCCAAATGCTTCGTCAATTCTCTGTTTTATTTACATGTTCATCAATTGTTTTTAGTACCACCTAACAACATCCCACATTTGCTTGCATCTTTATTCAACTTTATTTTGTAAACACATTGGTTTGCATTATGCAAAACAACCAAAACAAAAGAGCAAGAGAAACTCCGAAAAATACATTTTTTAAAAATTAATCTTGCATTTCACTTTTTGATATATCCCAAAATCCCAATTCAATTGTTAAATGGATTTACTCGTCAACTGTATTTTGGTTTTAAAACTAGATTTTGTAATTGAACCGTCCTAAACCGCTTGTTTCCTTTCTTCCTTTTTTTCCTTTTTCAAGCAGTATTGTGTTGTTTCCTTTTAACTAGACGACACTTGTATATATAAATAATACTAGAAGATATACACTATTGTTTACACAAATCATGCATTCAGAGAAGATGTGTAGTGAATTGGAACTGAAGACGAGCACGACCGAGACGGAGGTGTGTGGGTTCTCGTCGTTGCCAGATGAGCTGGTCGTGAACATCCTGGCCAATGTGTCGAGATTAGACCTCATGGCCTTAGGTATCGTCTCGAGGAGACAACGGTATGCCGCAGCGACCCCTGCTCTCAGGGACTTGAGATATCTGGTGGGTACCTGCGACCCATATCTGTACGTGTTTATGCACCTGTACCCAGATCCAATCCCACGGTGGTTCATCCTCCACCCCATGCAACGTCGGCTGAAACCGGTCCACTCGAGCTTGGTTCCGGTCCCGGAAGCAGGATCCTGTTTCGTGTTTACGGACTGGGGGATCTGTTCTATGGGTGGACTCGTGGACGGCAAACCCACATCGGAAGTCTGGTTTTTCGACTGTATCGACCACACGTTGTACCCCGTTTCGCCCATGAAGATGGCTCGATCCGGTGCATCGGCGAGCCTTGTTGACGGGAAGATATACGTGTTTGGAGGGTGCGGGGACGATGTCGCCGATTCCTCAAACTGGGCTGAGGTGTTTGATTTCGAGACCGAAACTTGGGAGTTGCTGTCTGTGTCTACGTCCAAGACGCCCCTCAAGATCCAGCAAAGCGTGGTGGTGATGGAGGAGGAGGAGGAGCAGGTTTACGCTGTGGATGAGGATGGTCAGTTCTTTTCCTTCTCACCGAGTAAACGCATGTTTGTGGCGGACGGAGAAACAGAGTCGAACCCGGAGTACAGAAACCACTGGCTTTACTTTGATCAGGTATTGTTCTGCCGTGGTACCGGCGGGAGGATACTGTGGCGTTTGCCATGTGAGTTGGATTGGAAGGAAGTGAAGGGCTTGGAGGAGCTGCAGCAGCGACACTCTGGTTATGATATCATCAAACTCTGCATCTACTCTGCTGAGAGGATCGTCATCTTCTGGAAAGCCCTGCCTCATCAGACTTCTGGAAAGACCTTAACTTGTTATATGCTGCTCCTGTCTATGCCTGAATATTCTCAATCATTGTTTTTAGGTATATTTTGTGCGTGTGATTTATATAATTTGCAATTGAGTCGGAAGTATTTACGATTATACAACATTACAAATGATTTTTTAATCCTCTATGCCAAGACCATATGAGATTAACGAGGAAGAAGCTCTGTAATGAGCACAAAATACAGTATGGTTTTCTCAAAAAGAGGCAATGACTTATTCGTGCAGATTATTTGACAAGAGTGCTCTATAAATTACTCTCACCGAGAATAAAAGATGTTGCTTACTTTCTCTCAACAGTCGACCCAAAAGCTAAAAATCCATCAACTCTCTTAACTCTGTAGAGCGGCTTGAGCAATCTCGAGAGCTTCTTCCACTGAAGAAGCGCTGGCGAGTTTAGCCTTATCCACAATTGGTTGGCTTCTTGCTAGCTTTGGGAGTAGCTGAAACTCCTGTGTAAGAGATATACACACAACAATGCAAAGTACATTATATTAAACCCCGAACAAAACCCTTGCAATGGTACAAAAAGACTCTTTACCTCTGGAGAACCGCTTTCTACAAGAACACCTTTCAACCTGCCTGTGACACAGATAATTACTCATCAGAATCAGTTTAAGTTTAGATAAGCTGTGTAATTTTGCTATGGTCAAAAGATTATGATTTACCAGAATCAATCCAGAAGGTAGCGATTTTCGGGTCGAAGTTCCCAACCTCAACTGCTTCTCCCACTGTGGCCAATATGAATCATCATTGGTTTAGATACAAGCTCAAAATATTGTTTGATAGTAAACTGGATTGTGTTACTGTTTAGGTTCTAACGAGATTTTACCATTATCCCCGAAAAACTGCCACCAAACTTTTCTTGAGCTGCCTTCATACTCGAATACTCTTGAATAGAAATACGGGAGATAATCGTACCTGCAGTGTTTTGAGGAACTAATAGGTGAAGATCTGTTGAGAGATAGTACACATAAGTCTCACAGATCATGCCAGGGTGGAAGAAGCTTACGTGTCAGTGTGTGCGGTGAGCAGCGACTTCACACAGTGTTGTGCAGAACGGCGTGCGTGATCGACATGTTCAACTCGGGTCATACGATCATATATCTGTTCATCAGACAATTATATGATGAGTTTTTACAGAACACAAGATTGATCGCTTAACATGTTTTTATCTAGTAGCAAAGTACCTTCAAAGGGAAGGCTGCGACATCTCCAATAGCAAAAATTCCAGGTGTGCTTGTCCTGAACAAGCCATCGACCTGTGGGTTGAAGATGAGCTCTTATCAGACTTTTGATTGAACAAAATACTGACGTAATTTCTGCTGAAGTTATAGCTTCGAAAACCAGATTAATACTGGAAACTAAATCAGGATGTTTTTTGCGATAACATTACCTGAATTCCTCCAATAGATTTGTTCATGGCCAAAGTTTCAAAGGGGCCAATAGCAGGCTTAGCTCCAATTCCGATCACAACCTGTAGAGTAGGGATACACAGGTTGAACAGAAGTCAGCATTTCATTGACCTTTACAGTTTCCATTTGATCAGACAGAGTTGTTGAAGTGAAGTTGAGCTATGACTATACCGTGTCTGCCTCAATGGTAGACCCATCAGCAAGCTTAACAGCTGATACACGCCCATCCGAACCTGCTTCTAAGTTATTTATGGAAGCGCCCTGTTCAACAGAGAGAGGAACTTAAAGTTTACTCACTGTGTTTATGAATTCTTAGGTTTGCAGGTTTGCGGGAAAGTAAAGGCTTCATCTTTACCTTGACAAACTTAACACCATTTTGACGGTATAGTTCTTCGTATTTCTGAGCAAGTGAGGGAGTGAACAATCTTTGCAATAGATGATCTTCGGGGAATACAATCTATTGATCCACAAAGAAAACCCAAAAAGCAGCTGTAAGTTATTATATTCATGCGAAAATGCAACTTTTGCACCATGCAAATAGCATTTTTGTTTAACGCATCGAATGACTAAACATATACCTCATTACAAGCACAATTTAAAGGTTAAATTCAACGGAATACTAACCGTTGTATCTAGATTCCATGCAACAGCTGCAGCAGCAACCTCCATGCCAATGTAGCCGCCACCAACGATGACAACTTTCTTTGCTTTTCCCTGAATTATATATTGGAAGGTTAGTTCCTCGAACTTAGAGTTTCCTGATGACGCATAGTGTAACATTTCATAAAGATGGCATAACTGGTAAGAATGTCCTTTGCTTACCAGAGATGATATCAGTGAATCAGCATCTGCAACCTCCCGAATATAGTGAACTCCAGGCAAGTTCCCACCAATTTTATCAGGGAACCTGAAATAAAAATAGAAAGTACATATTCCATACATCAACAATGGATAAGGTTGATAAGTCCTAGTTTCTCTGATGTTGTTTATCAAATTCACTGCAAATAGAATGTCACTTCACTCACCTTGAGGCTGTACACCCTGTCGCGATAATTAGGGATCCATATTTTAACTGCTTCCCTGTGGTTGTTGTGAGGGTTTGCTTTTCAAAATCAGCTCCAGTCACCGGATCTTCATATATCATCTGTTTGAAACCAAATACGTTAGTTTAACAATAGAGAATACCACATATTCACCAATGTAGACTCATCACTTGCATACAAAACTATGTATCAGAAGAAGAATTACCTCAATCCCTTTCTCCTTGTACCAATCTGGTGTTTGCCTTTCTCCACCACCTCCAACACAAGTATGAAACCCCTGCATATTCATTCACACCCTCAAATATAAACAGAACACACTAATCGAAAAGCTAATCCCAACTCCTAACGCTCTACAGAATCTACCAGAACCCAGTACACGAATTTCATGTTGCTAAAATTAAGACTAATAGCACTAACACAAGTGCTCAAATTGATCGAATCAAACACTAGAGTAGGATAAGCTTACTGGTAAACGAGCAGGCTTCTTCTCTGGAGGGAACAAGTAAGCTTTCGTCAAAGCCGGTCTCTCATAAGGTGCGTAAGCCTAATGATTTAGCAACAAAAACAACCAAGAATCCAACAATCACATTCAAATAAACAAATCAAACAGAGTAAGCTGACACTGTGACGAAGAAAACACTCAAAGATCGATTTGATTCACCTCTTTGGTCACAATGCAGAGGCGACCATCTGCCATTCCATTTTCTACGAAAGTCCTAGCGGCATAACCCGCAGCATTTCCTCCGCCAATTATCACAAACCTACAAAAACAAACGAAATTAGGCGATCTCAAAACTCAATTCGCATCTTTCCAAAATTCGACAAATTACGATACTAACTCGCGATTCTCGTTAGCGAACGAAGCAGTGACGAGGCCTCTGGAAGCGATTCTGGAACCGATCGGAGAAAAGCGAGCGGGGAAACGGCGAGCGAGAGATGGAGAAGTCGGACACCAGAGAGACAATCCGGTCTTCGTTGGCAACGTGGATGATGCTAACGCCATGACTCTTCGAACTGCAAACAATAGATGGATTAGAGAGAGAGAGAGAGAGGGAGATTCGATCTAGGGTTTGAAATCGAGGAAGAAGGAGGTGTGAGAGTGAGAGAGAGGACCTGGAGACATTTGTTTTATAAGAGCTCTGGTGTTGGCTCTAGAACAAAGCTAAAGGGCATAAAGATTAATGAGTTTTTTTTGAAATTGGGAAGATAGATGATTGGGTTGATATTTGAGAAGATGGAGCTGACTTGTCTTATTGCTTTTGATTCATTTTGTCCTTTGTAACCAAAATACTTACAAGAGTCTGGATATTTTTGTGACCGAGAAATATGCATATTCTTTACCAAGTTTTTCATATTCCTCCGTGGAGAATTTGAATTTATCGAATCAACAAATTAAGTTTTGATTTTTTTTTTTTTTTTTCACAGTTTTGAGTTTGATTATTAATTTATAAAATTTAAAACCATATAAAAAATGTCCAAAAAATAAATAGTGAAAATAAAAATGTATCTAATTAATTTTTTTTTTTTTTTTTGGTCATGTGTATCTGATTAAATTACCAAAGGCTATTGTACATGCTCCAAAATAACAGATAATTTCTGAATGTATCTTCTCCTTCAATTTTTTTTTTTTTTAAATCTCCTACTGGCTACTGTATATATCCAATTGGTTTTGTATGCTGTAATTATGGATTAATCAAAATTAAAAAAAAAATTAACAAAATTAAACGTGGAGATATAGAAGAAGAGGGAACATGGTGGTATGGGCCCATTCCAGAGTTTTGAAACCCAAAGTCGGACCAGAAAAACGATAAAACGGAACTAAGAAAATAAATATCCTAATAACCCCCAAAGAATTACAAAATTTAGAATTTCATCCCCAATAATTCAAAACCTTTACACAACTGGCGCCGAAAGTTTACCGGCTTGATCCAACACCTCCAGAATCTCCGCACGACTCCTCACGATCCTGTGGAAAACCTCTCTGATCTGTTGCTGCAACGGCACAAGCTCCTCTTCCATTCTCCGGCATATCTCCGCCATCTCCGCCACCTGCGCCGCCGCTGATTCAGCAGCATCTTTCTCCGCCGGGTAACGAAATGCATCGGCGAATTCAATCAACGAGTGACCAAGCTTCTCCATCCTCGTCATCTCCTCCATTAATCCCGCAGATCCTTTCTTCTCTTTCTTCTTCCACTCGTCTCCGATCTTCTCGTGAATTCCGATCAAACTCTGAGCCCAATTTAAATGTTTCGGCGGCACAGGCAAATGATTCGCTAATCCGGATCTCTCCTGACACGGAACCGCCGCCGTTAAAACCCACATCACGAAAACCATCACCGTGCTCATTATAAACATAGGCTGAGGCAATCCCGCCGCTTCGTTCCCACGCGGCGGCGTCAGATTCGCCGTCATCGCGTGGATCTGCTTCGCCGCCGACCAATTCCTCCCGACAGCCCACGACGACGATTTTAGCTGTCCAATCGTCGCTCCTCCTTTACTCGCCGCCGAAGATCCGCCGCTACGACGACCAAACGACCACGATCTCTCCGCCGTCTTGTTCCCTCCGCCACCACCACCTCCGCCGCCGCTTACGTTCTCTTTGTCCTCGAGACTCAACGCGACGACGAGATTCGCCAACGCGCGTCTCCCTCGTCTCACGTTACCGTCCCCTAACGGACGTTGTTCGAACGCCGCCACGGCGATCTCAGCTAAGCGCTGGTAATGTCTAACGGAATCGATTCCGTTAACTACGGCGGTACAGATGTCAAGCGCTTTAATCGACCGCTCTAACATTTCCGGAACTAACCGGTCGAATGGCGGTTTAGAAATCTGGGTCGGGTCACGACCCATTAACAGTATCGCTTTGAATTCGGCTTCGCAACAGAGGAAAACATCCATTAGCTTACGAAGCCAAGTCACGGACATAATCTGCTCCGTCGCGGCTACGGAAGCAACCGTGTTCGCTTCATCGGACGGAGGTTGTTGTTGTGGAGGAGGAGAGAGAAGCTCGGTAAAACGATCGGCGATGTGTTTTTGGAAAAGCTCGAGATCTTCTTGCTCTTGTTCGTTATTGACGTCGACGAATTGATTGCGACGGATACTAATCCGGCCAAGGAACGATCCTTGATTATCTTGCGCAGGTCTCATGATTTTGAGTCAAATTTGAAGGAGAAAGAAGAAGAAGATTGGGAAGGTTTTGGAAATGGCGGATTTATATACGGAGACGAAATAATTTGTGGTGCGCATGTCTTGTCGGAGAGCTTGAGACCCGTTCTTCGTGCGCAGTTATCTCATTTTTGTTTCCCATTTTACCCTTGTCGTGGTTTCGTTATTACCATAGTGTGTACGTGACATTATGATATATTCATAATTTAGTGTACTATGTTTTTTGGTAAATGCAAAGTGTGACGATCTTCATTGAATTGATTTTTGTTTCCGTGATATTTGGACCTACTAAACATATTTCAGATTACAAAAATTCCATGATAATATGAAAAATGATATTTGTTTCAAGTTAACGTGGTGGTTTGGAAAAATATAAAATAAAGTGGGCTTGGTGGGCTTAAGATATCCTAACTTCATATTTTCTTAAAGAGTTATTGGGCTACAATAGTCCAAAACCCCTAATTAGTCTACAGATATTCAATCTGCATGTCGTTAACTGCATGCTGTTTGGTCCATATAAAGAAGATTCTGCGAGGGGCATGCCGCATGCATAGTGGTGATCAGAAAGTAGTTCTCGTCAAGTTTCAGAACACTATCATTAACTTCAAAATCACGACGGTCACGCAGAGCCGTGCCAAGGTTAATAGATGCCATAGGCGACAAAAATGTAATTTATAATCAAAATATATAAAAATAAGAATTAATTAAAAATTATCTATTTTTAATATTATTATATGATAAAATAAAATAAAAAATAATTACAAAAAATAATCCATAATGTGATTTTTTAAATAAAATTAATGATTAACTTTTCAAAATTAACTTCTCTAATTTGATCTATAAACTTTCATAACAGCAATAAAAAATTGTCACATAAACTGTTTTTATACTATAATTTTTTTAATTTTTTAATAGGTTTTAGTAAAAAAAATTTTATTTTTATCAATTATTTTTATATAATTATTTTTCTAAATGTTAAGATATAATTGTTATTTACCTTGAAGATAATGTAATTTATATTTGAGCTGACTAAATACTTATTAGAACTAATAAACATATCTTATTTTAACTAAATCATTGTATTTTGTGCAATATTGTTAAGTTTTTTTTTTTAAATACATACTGTAATTGAAAACTAATAACTATCTATAACAAAAACCTATGAACTTTTATTTTTGAAATGTGGGGCCGTAGGCGAGAGTTTCTTTTGGTTAGGCATAGGCACGGCCCTGCGGTCACGTTATTTTCATTTAATTTGTTATTTACTTTAAATTAGGCGGCCATATTTATAAATGAAAACCAAGGTCCACACTTTCACATTGCAATACAAGTTCATAGCTTATAAGTCTGTGATTTTGCCCAACATCACGAAATATATATAGAGTTCGTGTTGAATCTAGGTTTTCTTTTGCTAAAGAGTTTAATCGAGGTTCTCTTTGTAAAATTTGTGGTTTCTCAACCAATTTATTGCTCCAATGCTCCCGAGCGAACTTCTAATGCAAAGAGGCATCAATAATTTTATTTTTTCTATTTTTTTTAAATAAACTGTAAAGGTTGTTTAACGGCTAGCAACAAAAAAAAAATAGAAAAAAAGTTCAAAAACACATCAACAAACGACTGCAAGTTGGATAGTTAGAGACGAGGAAAGATCATGTTCAAGGTAAACACATCAACAATGCTTTAGAAAGTGAATGCTAAGCTTTAATATTGGCTATGCAAAGAGTTTAGAGCCAAGGTTACACAAAAATATTCGAAGGAGATTGTAAGGAGTTTATAGACATAATGCAAAGAAAGAAAATTAATTTTGGAATCCACAATTGAATTCGAGAGGCAAGATTCTGGTAAGGAAAGTTTGAATATGTTCAATATATATGGGTACGAAAAGAATCAAATCAGTCTGCTCATATATTAGTTTTTTTGCAGTCTCAATGCAATCAATTAGATTTTTTCTATCATAAAGTCTCACATTGTATAGTTCAGGCTATACAAAATGACAACTGTAATATGATATAAGTTTTATTAATGTTTTAGATGCCAAAAAAAAAAGTTCAAAAAGACAATGAAAATAGAAGAAAAGTGTCCAATATTTTTCAATCAAATTTCAAACTAAATAAATTCCAAATTTTATGCTTTTCATTATATAAATAGTCATTAGTTGAAAACTTTTAAAATAAATCTATTAAAATAGACAATCTAATAACTAAAAAAATACTAATAAACATTTAATCCGATCTTAATATCCTACGGTACATCAACTTTAGAAGCTAGTTTTTCAGTTCTTCAATTAAAAAGGGTGTGATCATAAAGGAGAAAAAACTTAATTATGTATGGTAGAGACATCTCAATCTAATGATTATCATTAACTCGACCAGCCATCCCTTGAAAGGCTTGTCTTTTAATTAATTAATTAACACATTTGCTTCGTTAGCATCACTAGTTAATCACCAGAGCTATTATTTATGTTGACAAAACATTACCTTGATTTACAAATATATTTGATAGAAAAAACAATGTGGACCCAAACTAAAAGGGTCAGTTCATTGCTCCTCCTTAAAGATAAGCCCTTAATGATTCGATAGGAAACTAAACTTATGCTTAAGTTGGATTATCATTATATAAAAGGTTCAGAAAGTGCCAATGAATGCTAGCTCTCTTACTCAACATATTATAGGGGTTACTAGTTATTTTATTTTTATTTTTTAGTGCAAATTGGGGTTACATGCTAGTTATTAAGTTCCGAGAAGTTATAATTTCTTGAATGCATTGTATTAATGTTTAAAATAGAATGTTTGCACTTCTAAGAGTTTTTCATTTTTGAATGTTAGCAATGTTTTCCATTTTCTTATAATTAGAGTAGAAGAAAGACACTGAGGAAAAGATTGCGATATATAGAAGCAAAAGTCATATTTCTATGTGATCATATTCACATCGATGTTTGGTAATTGATTTGCTCCAATCCAACGGCCCCACTTCTCCATCTACGTACATAGGGCCTCGCCATACATGTGTGTAGGGCTATATTTATATTATTTGGAACACCGAATCATCTTCATTTAAATCACGACGATTTAACATTAAAATGATGGAATAAATTGTATGAGATGAGTGGACGGACGGAATATATATAAAATGGAACAAACGCATGACAAAAGCAAGGAATTGAACAACAGTTTTATGATTTCTGTACAGTGTTTAATTTAAACTTTTTGTAATGATCAAATGTTGTTAGATCAACTAGAAAAAACATCTTACACAAAGCCTGGAAGTCACGTGATTAGTGACATTTAAGACGATCGAAACTAATATCAATGATGTGGTTCCAATTCTTTTTTGTGTCTCTGGTTGGTAACACAATAAAATTATAGAATTGCAAAAAAATTAAGCTATAGAATGGCGAAATGCAGAATAACAGAATAATTATTGGATAAATTATGCGAAATGGCAGAATGGTGGAATGACAAAAAATATACAAAATTATTTTTTATAATAATATATTTTTTATATAATTGATATAATAAAAATTAAAATATTAATTATTCTAAAAAACATAATTTTAATATAATTAGAAAAATTAAAAAATTTATTGTAATTATTTATTTTTATTTTATTTTTATTTATTATAAAATACATAAATATATTGCAAAATTTAATCTAGATCATTATATAAATATATGTAGTATAAATATATTTATTTAAATAATAAAATATAATTAATTATATTATTGAATGATATAGAATATTGATTCCGCAAATAAGCTACTTGAAACATATTTTTCCACTTAATCAATTTTTCTTTGTATTTTTTTGTAAGTATTTTCGCTATTCCGCAGAACTCGAGTTTTGGCATTTTTCCGTAAAATTTTTTGATTGAAAAAATTCTTGCAGAATCGCGTTTTTGCACCATTCCACCATTTTACAAAGTTTACCAATCAATGTGTTTTGATCCAAAAATTTCCTGACATTAAAAAAAAACTTTTGTAATGAGTTAATATAAGTGAAAGTTAATTATATCAACATTATAAATTTACTTGATAAACATTTTTTTGTTTGTATGAATGTTAAGCTGAGAAAATTGTATGCAATAAGTGGAACAGACGGAATAAACGAAACAAAATAAACATAACAAAAATAAATGAACAATAGTTTAATGATGTATGGCGAGCATTTTTGGACCTCTTTCGAACTAAAATAGTAAGTCCCAATTAATCAAGACTATAAAAATATATCCATCTTAGATTATCGTGTGATGAAATCATATGTATCGTAATTTACATGTACCCCTTCGTCTACACTTCTTTCGTTAGGATCCTATTTGAAAAAGAAAATGCCTAATCAATGACGAATTGATGATTTCATTCATCAATATATTATTATTATATTTTGTTAGAATATAGTCATCAACATAATTATAATAAGAGATTCGAGCATGTTTAAAGTACGATGATAAGATAATTATTTATAATTTTTAACAACAAACACAAAATTAATCTTAATCATATAGATGGCGTAAGCTAAATATAATCATGCAATAAATCTTTTGTTAGATACATTGGAATGTAAACACAAAGTATACAAAATTATTTAGTAAATTAGTATTACTTTATTAGAACAAATCAGTCCTTCCGTCAAAAAGAACAGATCTGATGTGACATATATGAGTATAATATAATATTTACAAAGTATTGCATGACTATCTTTACAAGTTATCATCAATACGAAAATAAGAACAATGAAGGCCAAAATTTCTCAACGAAGAGATTTCATTTTCGGCAAGGTCTCCCGATATGTCTCCTCCTAACTAATCGAAGCCTTGTAATGGTAACTTGTAATGATTGTGATTCCTCATATCCTTGAAAAAAAACTTCACTACTGGACGTACATTAATTTCCAGTGCACTATCTATATTTTTATTTATTTATTACATACATTTAAACGTGAAAAAAAAATCACACTACAGGTTCGGCTACGTATACATGGTACTTAAACCAATTATTTCATATCGAACAAAATATTACAAATTTCTAATACAATTCAGCATATGACAATATGTGTCCATATATTTGGAATCCATAAAGTTCTATTTTTTACTAGATATTATGATATTTGTTCTTGTTAATAGAAGTATGATCACTACCTCCGTCGGTTTAAAACTACATAATATGTCATGTATATGCGTATTGTATTTGTATAGCTTATAAAAGTTAGACAACGAATATTTTTAATAGTCACATGAACAAATTTTGTTGTCCTCATCATAATCTTGAAAATATTATAGATTCATACTGCGCACGTACGTATTGCAAAAATGAGGGAAAATAAACAACTCTAAGCAAAAACCGTTATTAGTTCACCATATAAGATTATATATATATTCGCAATGAACAACTTTTTATGTTAATCAAGAAATATTAGTATAAAGGTGTTGCATAATATGTAATGATTCATGAGGCAAAAGTTCATATATATGGTCATCGTTTGATCTATATGGTGACTTGTTCTGCGGATTTATCTGACATTCGTCGAAAAAAAACAGGCAAAACTTTAGCGGGAGACAAAAGGGTACGTGAAGGAAAAAACATATAAAAGTGATAAGGGCTTAACGTAATAATACTACAACAAAAACTCTCTACGTACAACGAGTAATAACACATGAAAATAGAAAGTTGATGAGACGTCGTTTTAAGGTTAGATCGATGAAGAAATATCTCAGGCCCCACCCGTGGGACCCGACCCGACCCGACCTTTGTCTCCTCTCCTTTTAAAACTCTCCATTATTTCTTCTTCTCCTCCTCTCTTCTATAGCTAGAAACCCTCAAAAACACAACCGCAGGAAGAAAGAAAATAAACAAATTAATTTAAGATACTTATTGTGATTAAGTGGTTAATTATAATTAAGTTAATTTGGGGAGCTACTAGTCATGGGTCATCACTCATGTTGCAACCAGCAAAAGGTGAAGAGAGGGCTTTGGTCACCTGAAGAAGATGAGAAGCTTATTAGATATATCACAACTCATGGCTATGGATGCTGGAGTGAGGTCCCTGAAAAAGCAGGTACTCTTAATTATTAGTTTTTATTCATTTTTAATTTATTTTGTCTCTAACCAATTACAATGGTAATCTAATATTTACAATGCATGTTTGATATATTAGGGCTTCAAAGATGCGGAAAAAGCTGTCGATTACGATGGATAAACTATCTTCGACCTGATATTAGAAGAGGAAGGTTCTCTCCTGAAGAAGAGAAATTGATCATAAGTCTTCATGGAGTTGTAGGAAACAGGTTCCCATTCTTACTATATTAACCTAAAAGAGTATAAATATATACACACACACATATATATATATATTGATTCATGGTATAAACTGCACTTGTATTCATTTAGTTTTGTTTAACCTAAAATTATATATATATATATATTGTATTAATATGTACAAATTCTTATGAGATTTTTAATATTGTTACCATGATTAGTAATAAGTCTGTTGGGGTTGGGGATACATTATACGTACCATGTACTATTTTTAAAGCTATATTCAATTTATTATTATATATATATATATACATTAAATTATTAAATGTTTAGTTTGGCCACGGTTCTAAGCAACGACTAGCCTCCGGTTGATGACTAAAGAATCTTTAACGTGTAGTTTCATTAATCTCGTACTTTTGTCTACTTGCTCGAGCTATAAAGTAGTGTACTTCAAGTTACTTAATCGAACATTCTCAAAATGTAATACATATACGTACACCAGCATATATATATTTATGTGCTTAATTAGTTTGTATACTTTTTTTCAGATGGGCTCATATTGCGAGTCATTTACCTGGAAGAACAGATAACGAGATAAAAAATTACTGGAACTCATGGATCAAGAAAAAGATACGAAAACCACACCACCATTACAATCGTCATCAACCATCAGTAACCACTGTGACGTTGAACGCAGACGCTACATCAACTGTTACTGCTATCGCTTCCACCACCACAACATCGACTATCGATAACTTACAGTTTGACGGTTTTATGGATTCTCCTAACCAACTAAATTTCACCACTGATCAAGAAACTAATATTAAGATGCAAGAAACGCTTTTCTCCCAAAAACATCCTCTCTTCATGGTAGACACAACACTTCCTGTCCTAGAAGGAATGTTCTCTCAAAGCATCATCACAAACAATAGCAACAAGAGCAATGATCATGACACACAAAGAGGAGGAAGAGGAAATGTTTGCGAGCAAGCATTTCTAACAACTAACACGGAAGAATGGGATATGAATCTTCCTCAACAAGAACCGTTTCAAGTTCCTACAATGGTGCCACATCTGTTCAACAACTCTACAACCTCAAATATTGAGACGGTTATAAGTTACAATCTACCGGCGTTAGTAGAGGAAAATGTTGATAACATCGTCCCTATTGACAATAACAATGTTCAAGATATGGCGTCGACATTCGAATGTTTAAAGAAGCAAGAACTAAGCTATGAGCAATGGATAGATTCACAACAATGCTCTAATTTTTTCTTCTGGGATAACCTTAACATAAACGTGGAAGGTTCATCTCTTGTTGGAAACCAAGATCCATCAATGACTTTGGGATCATCTGCTTTATCTTCTTCTTTTCCTTCTTCGTTTTAAATTATATGTTTAAATCCAGTAGAGAAACTCACGCTAATTTGTTTATCAGTTTGTTTCCTTATTATTATTTTTGGCTGTAGAGTTTGTTTTCGGATATTTCACTTTAATATGCGCTCTAAATTGTTGATGAGGAGATGGTGTGAATGTATGTACGTGTGTATGTGTTATTTGCTAACTCCTGGTTTGGTTTTGTCCTTAATTTGATGCAAATAATGTAATAAAGGTCAAAAAGAACTGCACTTCCATATTGCTACGCAATACGGTGTCGTATTCAATGCATTCACCGAGTTCGTTAACGTTTGTCGTTGCGTTACACAAACGTACATATATTTTTTGGATCCATTTCATTGTAGAAAAGAGAATATTAGCACATTTATCTCCTCACCTAAAAATCTTACTTTCACAAAGTGTCGTTCTACCATTTTTTCACACAAATTAAAAAAAAATATCTAAAATTTTCTTTTACACTAAAATAGTTTAACCAAAATAGATTTTTATTATATATTATGTTCCACATTATAATAATTAGGGAAGTCATTAACCAAACCACATGACACCATAGCAGTATAGTTGAGATGAATTATGTCTGCTTGAAACTTGGTAGGAACCATAGAGCTCTGGCGAGTTGTTGTAGGGACGAACAATCAAACTTGTGCAGTGGCTCCATCTCCTGTGTCTCGAAATTAAAGAGACAAATTTGAATAGTGTTTTTTTCATGACAAGTAGTCTTGAAGTAGATGGAATTTCTCTTAAAACCCACAATGTCATCATTAGCGAGCACAGTGATGCCTAGATCAAAAAGCATTGCCTCGTTGCCCAAAAAACCAACTTGTTCATACTTGTTAAAGAAACCTGATGAATAAACCTTGTAGACGCGGAAGGACCAGAGTAAAGTGAAAGGTCTTGCCCATTTTTCAACATAGAGGACATCTCCTGTTACTGTGACTACAAGTCTTGCGCCGGCGATCCTCCATGAATGTCTTGTTGGATCAAGTGAAGAGCTGTTGCCTGGAACACCACACTGAAAGGTTTCTTGCGGAATAAGCCACACACCATTGGCCAAATCCCCATAAAACTATGTATTCTTTGGTGCGTTCGTCAATCCAAAAGACAGGAGATTTCACATTAATAGCTTCGCAATTCCTTTTGCGATCATCGTTTGAAATACAAAACCAACCTTTTGAGGTTCGCTCCAGCTTTGTCGTTCCAAGTTGTGACTCCACCGGAGGCAAATCGATCCTCTCGTGGGTAAACAGATTCAAAAGGTAGAGATTATACCAACAGTCTACCATAAAGAGCCAATTACCATATGATGCTAAACAGTAACTCTTTGCAAATTCGACATCCTCATCTCGTATCTTGTAAAGCTTGTCTTTTTCCTCGGGATTGAACAGCTTGCACCAATGGTTGTTCATCCTGTCGTCTTCGTCGGGCAAGAGAATCAGCCAAGGAATCTGCTTTTTTGCCAAGCATCGTCTCGCAGCCGAGTACCAAGACGAACATACGGATTCAGCTCGTCGAGAATCAGCAACGCCAAGGCGTTCCAACACTAAATTCAAGAGATCTGGAGGAAGCTCGGACCAGGAATTTGATGAATCTCGTCTGGGTAACTTGTAAGAATTAGGGTTATGCTGCTTCATCGACAACTCTCTGCAAAATCCCAAACGACCCGACTGTATTTGTAGGGATGTTAAATTAGGGTCACTGTAGACTTGGAAAAAAAAAACCCGGAACTGATATTCTGAACCGAACCGACCCAAAATTTACCCTGAACTGAATCCGAACCAATTTTTAAAAATATCCTAATAGGCCTTAGACTTCTCTATCCGAAAATCTGGAGCCGGAACTTGAATACTCAGGTCGTGTGGGATTTAAATATTGGGAAACTGGGTCATATGACTAATGGTGGAATGGTAAATTTGGTGAAATGGTAGAAAAACTTAATTCTGCAAAAATTTTGCCAATCAGAAAAACTTGTGGAAAAATGACAAAACTCGAGTTCTGCAGAATTGCAGAAATACTTACAAAAAATATAAAAAATTTAATTAAGTGGAAAAATGTGTTTCAGATAGCTTATTTGCCGAATCAATATTTTATATCATTCAATTATATAACTAATTATATTTTATTATTTAAATAAATATATTTATACTACATATATTTATATAATGATCAGATTATATTTGTAGATTAAATATTACAATATAGTTATATATTTTATAGTAAAAAAAATAATAAATAATTACAATAAAAGTTTTAATTTTTTCTAATTATATTAAAATTATATTTTTATAATAATTAATATTTTAATTTTTATTATATCAAATTATATATAAAAATATTATTATAAAAATTAATTATATATATTTTCTGTCATTCCACCATTCCGCCATTCTGCATAATTTATTCAATCATATCAAAATTAATTATTCCACTATTATGCATTCCGCCATTTTGCAGCTTAATTTTTCTGTCATTCCACAGTTTTTATTGTGTTACCAATCAGAGCCTATATTTCTAAACTAAATTCATGAAATAACCATTACAAAGTAGAAGTTATAATATTTTTTATATATTCTACAATATATATAAAATTGACCTTTTTATTTTTATTTTTAATTTCAATCCTCTACGATTTCTTTTCTCTTCTCATCCTTTTCTCTTTCCTTTCCTCTGCTCATCTCCGCTCATCTCATCTATCCTCCTCTCCTTCCCCTCTCTTTGCCTCCCCTTTCCTCTCCTCACCTTCTCTCTCGTCTTTTTTTTCTTCCTTTCTATTTTTTTTTCTGTATATACTATATCAAATAGGACTATTTCATAAAATTATATATAGTATAGTATACAGTATAATATAGTACAAAATTATTTTCGATAATTGATTGTGAACCATGGTTAGTTTACTAATTTTTCAAATAGCATGACTATATTGTTCAATTATTTTGCAAATATAGTTATTGAAAAAAATCCCTTAAATCTTTCTCTGAAAATTATATTTTTTTTCTTTGACAATAGATATTTTAAAAATTTAAATACTATTTCAAAAAGTCATATTGGCTCAAAATGACACCAAGTATCATAATTTACAAGGTATTGTAAAAGTTTCATTCCTTTTGTTCAACATGCTTTAAACAAGTCTTGACTGAATAACACCATCTCTTACTAAAACGCTACAGTTGTCTTATCTCCTAATTTCCAATAAATATTTTTGATTTTTTAAATTTTTTTCAAGATATGCGTCTTAACAAACACAAAATTTGTTAAATTTACGAGTTTTTTAATTTTTCTTGCCAATATGTGTATTAACACTAACAAAAGAAAATGTTATAAATTCGAGTTTTTTTTAAATTTTTTTGTCAAGATATGTGTACTAACAGATACACAAAAAATATTAAATTTTTGAGTTTTTTAATTTTTCTGCCAAGATATGTGTATTAATACACGCACAAGAAAATGTTAAATTTTTGAGTTTTCTTAATTTTCTTATCAAGATATGTGTATTAACACACACAAAATATCTTAAATTTTCGAGTTTTTTAATGTTCTAGCCAAGATGTGTGTATTAACAAACACACAAGAAAATGTTAAATTTTTAAGTTTTTTAAAAAAAAATTTTGTCAAGATTTGTGTATTAACACACACACGACAAAATGCAAAATTTTTGAATTTTTGAATTTTCTTGTCATGATGTATATATTAACACATACACAAGAAAGTGTTAAATTTTCAAATCTTTTCCTTCCAAAGTTTGCATGACTAATATTTTTTTTCTTGTCAAAATATGTGTATTAACACACACATAAGTAAATGTTAAATTTCCGAGTTTTTAAATTTTTTTGTTTTTTTTTTAGTTTTCTTATCAAGATATGTGGATTAACACACACAAAAAATGTTAAATTTGCGAGTTTTTTTTCTTTCCAAGATGTGTGTATTAACACACACTCAATAAAATGTTAAATTTTAAAGTTTTATAATTTTCTTGCCAAAACGAAAATGTTAGATTTTTTAGTTGTTTTTGATTTTCTTGCCAAAACATGTGTATTAACACACATATACACAAGAAAACAAATTGTTTTTCTAATTTTCTTGTCAAGATTTGTGTATTAACACACACACACATAAGAAAAATGTTAAATCTTTGAGTTTTTTTTTTTAATTTTCTTGTCAAGATATGTGTACTAATACACACACACAAATTGTTAAATTTTTTTTTTGTAATATTTTTGCCAAAATGTGTGTATTAACACACACAAGAAAATGTTAAATTTTCGAAATTTTTAATTTTTTTGCGAAGATGTAAGTATTAACATACACAAAAAATGTTAATTTTTTAAGTTTTTTTCTTAATTTTCTTGTGAAGATGTGTTTATTAACACACAGCAAAATGTTAAATTTTCAAAATTTTTATAGATAGTTGGTGCCGTAGTTGCTGCCTACGTAATTTCATATATAGATTATATAATATTAAATCATGGAAAACTCATAAAGACATCATCATTTTGGTTGAAAGGAGAAAGAATGAAATAAGTTTAAACTATTTTAGATCAATAGATCATCACTTTGAATTACTTGATACTAATTTTCAGATAGATATTTGTTTTTCTGTGTAATCTCTCTATAGTCATATATATAAACAGATACATTTATAAATTATTTTCTTAAATCGGATAATATAAAATTTGCATTTTTTAGGTTTTTTATATGTAGGAAAATAGAGGAAAACGTAGAAATGTTATTTTTATATTGTAGTGGAAAAAAATTGCAAAATACATTGCAGATGGTCTTATAAAAGAAACTTGTTTAGTAGAATTTTCCTGGCAAAAGCCAAGAAGCTTCATCTCTCTTTAGTCTTTATCATAAGTCAAGAGTCAGTGGTGAATAAAGCCTTTTTTCCATTTTCTCCTACATATATGGCTCACACAGACACATTTTTTTGTATATCCGATCTTGAACTTCCTTGCTACTCTTATCTCATGGCTCCTTCTTCTTCTTCTTCGCTTTGCAACTGGAGATACAACGTCTTTGCGAGCTTCCATGGACCAGACGCCCGTAAAAGCTTTCTGAGTCATTTACGCAGGCAGTTTAACGAAAATGGGATTACCATGTTCGATGATCAAGGAATTGAGAGAGGCCAAAGCATTACACCTGCTCTCAGACAAGCGATTAGAGAATCGAGGATCTTGATCCTGGTGCTCACAAAGAACTATGCTTCTTCAAGCTGGTGTTTGGATGAGCTGTTGGAGATTTTGAAGTGCAAGGAAGCTGCTATGGGACAGATGGCGATGACGGTCTTCTACGGAGTAGATCCGTCTGATGTGCGGAAACAGACCGGAGATTTTGGCATCGCTTTCAATGAAACTTGTGCTCGTAAAACAGAGGAGGAGAGACGAAGATGGAGCAAAGCTTTGACTGACGTTGGCAACATAGCCGGAGAACACTTCCTAAACTGGTTCGTGTTTAATTAAACTAAGTTTATACTCTTAATAGTCTTTTGTCAGGATGTATTACGATAAATATCAGAGGATGAATTTTGGTGAATTAAATGATTATTAAGGAATACAGTACATATCATAAACAAACAATACTGTTTTTCTTTATCTTTTGTTAGGGACAATGAAGCGAAAATGATCAAGAAAATTGCCATAGATGTTTCAGATAAACTGAATGCTACACCGTCTAGGAATTTTGATGGCATGGTGGGACTTGAACCTCATTTGAGGGAAATGGAGTTTTTGCTAGATTTAGATAATGATGAAGTCATGATGGCTGCAATAACTGGTACTGTAGGCATTGGTAAGACTACCATTGCCAGAGCTTTACATAGCCGACTCTCTAATAGGTTTCAGCTTACTTGTTTTGTGGACAACCTTAGGCGAAACTATCATAGTGGTCTTGATGAGTTGCGTTTACAAGAAGAGTTTCTTTCAAAGGTTTTGAACCAAAACGGCGTTAGGATATGCCATCGAGGTGTGATAAAAGAAAGGCTACGCGACCAGAGAGTGCTCATCATTCTTGATGACGTGAGCAATATAAAGCAATTAGAGGCATTGGCTAATGAAACCACATGGTTTGGTCCTGGAAGTAGGATTGTAGTAACCACAGAAGACAAAGAGATATTGCAGCAACATGGTATCAATAAGACGTACCATGTAGAGTTTCCATCTGATGAAAAAGCTTTCAAGATCTTATGTAGATATGCTTTTAAACAAAGCTATCCACATGATGGTTTTAAAGAGCTTGCTAAAAGAGTAACAGAGCTTTGCGGTAACCTTCCGTTGGGTCTCCGTGTGGTGGGTTCATCTTTACGTGGGAAGAAGGAACAAGAGTGGGAAGAAGTGATACGCAGGCTAGAAACTTTTCTTGATCATCGAGATATCGAGGAAGTGTTAAGAGTCGGTTATGAGAGTTTACATGAGAATGAGCAATCTCTGTTTTTCCATATTGTAGTCTTCTTCAACTATAAAGATGGTGATATTGTGAAAGCCATGTTCGCTGACAACAACAACAACTTGGATATCAAACACATGTTGAAAATCCTAGTCAACAGATCTCTCATACACGTATCCACGGATGGAGAAATCGTGATGCACAAGTTACTGCAACAAGTGGGAAGACGAGCCATTAATAGACAAGAGCCTTGGGCACGTAAGATCTTAATAGATGCTCCTGCTATATGTGATGTTCTTGAACGTGCCAAAGTAAGTTGTTCTTTCTCTTGTGATTGTCTATATTCTTTGTCTAAACTATTGTGCTATCAATATATTTACTGTAGTATATATCTTTTGGAATAGGGTACTAGAGCTGTGTCTGGCATATCATTTGATATATCTGACATCAACGAGGTATCTATCAGCGAGAGAGCTTTTAAAAGAATGCCTAATCTTCGATTCCTCAAAGTTTACAGAAGTAAAGTTGATGGAGATGATGATATAGTGCACATACCAGAGGAGATGGAGTTTCCACATCGACTAAGGTTACTACATTGGGAGGCATACCCACTCAAGTGTCTTCCTCGTACATTTTGTCCCAAACATCTTGTGGAACTCGATTTGCGCTGGAACCTGCTTGAGAAGCTTTGGGAAGGAACACAGGTATAAGTATTTGCTTTGCGTTTCTACTTTCTCTCACCATGTTTTTGATGTTATTTCCTCTGTTTGTGTCTTTTCAGCAACTTCCAAATCTCAAGAAGATGAATCTGTATGGATCCTCGAATCTGAAGGAACTCCCGGATCTCTCAAATGCTACAAATCTGGAGAGATTAGATCTGAGTGGTTGCCAGAGTTTGGTGGAGATCCCTTCCTCTATTGGAAATCTTCATAAACTAGAGGAGTTGGAGATAATGTTATGTGCAAACCTAAAAGTTGTCACGACTCTCTCCAACCTGTCTTCTCTTAAATTGGTCAACATGGTGGGATGCTGGCAACTCAGAAAGCTTCCAAACATCTCCAACAACATCACAAAACTCACAATCTCAGACACCATGTTAGAACAAGTCCCTGAATCAGCAAGGCTTTGGTCTCGCCTACACACTCTCATTATATGGGGAAGTGTCAATACAGTTCCTTACCTCCCAAAATTTCGAAAAAGAGGCGCGAATGTTGAGAGAATTCCAGATTTCATCAAAGATCTTCGTGGATTAAAAGAGCTTTGCATATATGGATGTCCTAGACTTTCATCGCTGCCAGAGCTCCCTCCCTTTCTCAGAAACCTAACAGTAAACTCTTGTGAATCACTCAAGACAATAACATTTTCCGCTTTTGACTCTCAAATCAACGGTCTCTCGTTCCCAAACTGCTTCAAATTGGATCGAGAAGCACGAGGAGTAATCACACAGCAATCATTTCACGTGAATGCATGTTTACCTGGAAGAAAGATACCTGCGGAGTTCAATCACGGAGCTACAGGGAACTCGTTGACCATCCGTTCACGTTTCAACGAGTTTAGGATTTGCCTCGTGCTTTCACCTCAACAGCAGATGGAAGGAAACGTCGACTTACTGTGTCGTGTACGCATAGTAAACATTGGCCTGACGATGGAAATGATGCTTCAGGATCTCCCCTGTATCGAAGCAGAACATGTATTCATGTTTTACTTTGAATTGCCTGACGAAGACAGGTGGCGTGAACTGGAGAAAGAGATATTGTTCGAATTCAGCACCACATCCCAGGACATCAGCATTATCGAATGTGGTGTCCAGATCTTGATGGAAGGGTGCTATGAATTTAGTGTAGAAGAGTGTCTGAAGATGGCCGCCTGTCTCTCTGAGATTGAGGAGTAATGAGAGTTATACTCTGTTTCTCTAGTTTAGAGTTTGATTTCAGATGTTCTTTTGTATATAGCCTTCTAAAGATAAAAGAGATGCAAAGGCGAACAAAGCTTTAAGTTGGTGAACAAGAAAGAACAATATCTTATGAAACAACTTGTTTTGATCTACAAGGAACGTAAGATTTTCGAAACTGTTTTCAGTACTGTCAATATAGCTGCTTGTTCTTACCCTGATCATCAAGTTTTGATCTTGAGGTATTTACAGACGAGACGAGACTCAAGTAGAGAATGCTTATGAGGCCTGAGTTGTTTGTTTCAGTGGCGATATGTCTTAACAACATGATCTATTCGTCTCCGGCAAAGTGGACAGCTGGTCAAGTGGGAGGAGCATGCGGTGCAGCAGCACATATGACCACACCTGCGGGAGTACCAACCACACAAGGTCTTTTTAGCAAATTGCCAAAATGCAGAATCAGCCAAAGAGGCGAAAGAATGCTTACGGGACAAACACAGCATTGTACTCCTGCTCTAGGCAGATCACACATAGATCAGGAACAGCGTCTTCTTTCTTGGTCGAATCTGAAACGCTCTCACGCGTCCCGTTCGAACCTGGTGACAAAGTGTTATGCTAGTTCAGAGCCAGAGTGCAACCAATATGTAGAAAACGATTCACCAATGGATATACCTTCACTCTCTAGCTCATCTCTCTTAGCTGCTGCATCAAGCACTCTGCAAACAACAGCTGCTTAATTTTGTGTGCAACATAATTTTTTGTTTTTAGGGAAACAAACCGCTCTAGTACTTATATACTTGAGGATGACTATTCACTCTGTGAAATACCTTTTTTGTAACTCTCGCCGTCGTCTTCTCTCTAATACAGAGTCAATGACATGCTTTGTTATTAGAAACACACCAAAAACAGTTAAACCCATGGAGGCGTACTTGTACCACCTGTAAAAATTCGACTCTTATCAATCAGTTTTGCTCATCGTCACAAGAGTATAGGACAAGAACCAAGAGAGGATAGTGAGACGACCTTGACCATTTTCCCAAATTAGAAATGAGCTGGTCGAGTGATTTCGGAGAGACGTAGAAAGGCCCCTTCTCAGGTTTCTGAATCCTGAAATCTCCAATATCGTCCTTCACAGCCTATATCATACATGGCAGCAACAGAAAATTAGATTCAAACTCATCGGTCTACCTCTGTACAAAGATCGATCCAGCTTCTTACAGGAACTTTGAGAAAAATTCAAATGGCAAATTCTAGACCGTTGAAGGAGTTAGTGTGCCATTGTATCTCTATCAACTGATACAACTTAAGCAACAGCTATGAAAGCAGAACACTCAGAATACAACATACCTCACCAACAATTGTTAGCGGCAATCCAGTTGGAAGAACACGCTCGATGCGCTTTACTCCAAGCATCTGAAACAAAAAAAACGGTGGCCGCTTAAGCAAACAGAGAGAGGCCAACAGGTATAGAACCGGAAAGAAAAGCTAAAACCTTGAGGCCTTGGAGATAATCAAGTGTTCCTCGTACAAGCGAACGCCCTGACTCTTCAAACACTTCACTTCCAACAGTCAAGGCAAAACCTGTTGCACCACGAGCTCCCACCACATGGACACGACTTGTCCCATCGTCCTATTAGCAAACAGTATTTGAAAATTTGGGAAATGGTTTTAAGAAACATCCAATCACAGCTGCAAAACAGTATGTGACTTACCAGAAACCAAGGAACCTCCTTGCTCATTGACAGCATCAATGCACTATCTTGTACCCAAGAACCCGTCTCATTGTGTTTCAGAAAATGTTGCTCCGCCTGAAATGATCATGCCATTTCTTAGAGTCTCACATTACAGCTAATTGATGAAAACGCGAAATCAAACTATGTTCCAATGCCTTAGTTTTCACTCCACACATACCGTTTCCTCGACGATAACACCGCGTATGCCACTATGCTCGCACTTGATAGGTGTCTCAGAGCCAACTCTTCCCGATACAGCAACAATGAAAGGAAGGAGCTTGCTGCTATCTAATTCCAGCAATTTCGCTGCAGATACAGAGCAATTTGAAAACGGCATCATGAATCACTGATCAGATAAACAAAAAAACTGAGAGTAGAAGAAGCAATTTTTGGCGATAAGATTACCTAATTCCTTAAGCTGATCAACCCTAGTGACGGTTTTGAGTACTTCAGCATCCCTGCGCTCAGGGGAATAAGAAGGGATTTGATTGATATTCTACGCTTTGGGGGAGATTGAAATCAAAGGAGATTGATCGGAAGTAAAGAAAGAAAATCACAAACCTGCCACTACTCCGGCCGAGAAGATAAAGAGCGGCGGCGCTGAGGCAGCAGGTAACTCCACCCCAAGGAATCATTTTCTAATTCTTCTTCTTCTTCTTCTTCTTCTTCGAGAGAGATTGAAGTCACTCTTACTTGTTTGAAGAAGAACAATGCCTCCAAGTGATGAGCAGAGAGACAATATTCGAATTCAGCAGCGAATTCAAGGCTATTGAATGTAGTGTTCGGATCTGAGACGGACGAAATCAAAAGAAATAGCGGTGTGAGCAAACGATCGTGATAATCTCCGCTGGGGAGTAATCTGTGAATCGAAGGAAGACGAAAATTTCGAAGGGAATATAAAAAACTCAGATTGTTCGAATTAGATGATCCTTTGCTTCGATCTCCCTCTCTCTCTCATATTCTGAAGCACAAGGTTTGGGGAGGAAGACGATAAACGACGGAAGGAAGCTGATGACGTGTCACTTCCCAATATTCAATACGTGGGCCTAAACGTTTTTATGTTTAAGCCCAACTTGACGTTAAGGGTCGTTTAAAAATATACTCCGTTATGCATTATGCATTTAGGTTTAATATTCATGACATGCAGATTAATTTGCTGTAGAAGATTTGTAATGTGGTCACACATCTTGATCTGTGACGTTTCGTTAATCGTTACTCAATATTTACTTTGTCATTTGATACTTTTTCTGATCTTAACATCGTCTAGAAAGGAACTTCTAAGTTGTTTGATTACTATCTACTGAATTTTTGCTGTCTTTTTTAATCTACTTTCAATCTGTGAAAATTTAGTGAGCATCTTACATTTCATATAATTTACATGCTCGTCACTTACTAAATATTATTTATTATAATCCTTAATCTGTCTATTTGTTCCAATTCGCAATAAACGATTTCGAGCTTGAATATTTTGCATTAGCTAGACACGAACTTGAAGAGCAATTTTATAAATAATAATTCATACGCATGGTTTACAAATGAGAGAAAAGGCTTGTTCTTAATCCTAAGATTTATAATTCCTACTAGAAAAGTAAATATTTTCATTTCATTTTGTGTTAGGCGTCTTATATATATATTTTCCTGATTTTTCATGTATTTGACGACTTTAAATTTTTGTATTTATATGATGTTGACCTCTTTGTTCATGGTTCAAATCTTGCTATTGCATCTTTTTTGATAAAAAATTTTCAATTCTTTGTTGATATGTTTGCTTTTGACCCCGTAAAAAGTATTTTTGAGTTCGCCAATATCCTTCGTATTTAATTTAGAAAACTTGTATTATTTCTTAACGTTAGATCATATTTTGTGGCTGTCAAAAATATCATATTTTGTGTTACCAGTATATAGTATTGGATCAATGATAAATATATCATCTGATATATCAAATCAAACGACGAATTGCTTATAGACGATAGAGCCTTGTTCATACCATAACTATCAAATTCGATATATTTTGTTTGACAAAGAACTCAATATTTTTTCGGAGAAAGGAATCTTGAGTAGTCTTGTGTTTACATTTCAGCTAGTTTCACAATCAAAAGGAAATAAATGGGACCAACGCCATTTTGTTTTCTTTCTTTTCAAAGTCTTCCCTTAAATTCGTTCACTCTTCAGAGGGAAAAAGCTGTAACCCTTAAATTCGTTCACTCTTCAGAGGGGAAAAGCTGTAAGATACAAGTTTGTTGTTTCCTACAAGTCTTAGGGGCTCTAAGGCAACCTGTTTCAAAGTCTTTTGTGACTGATGCATAAAAGATTCTTCTGTTTTTTGTTTTTATGGACAAATGTTTAGAACTGTATACCTTTTTTTAAAGCAATTTCACTCAATAACAAACGATCGCACTGTAGTTAAGAGAGCAACAAGACATCTTTATGTGTTCAAAAAAAAAACATGAAAATATTTTGCTACCAGTTTTATATTTAACCTCGGTCGTTATACCAACTTTGTTGAAAACTTCTAGCATATTTTGTCATACTCTTTTTCCTTAATTAAGTCTTCATTATAGTTCATAGTTGTTTACTAATTTGACTCCTTTTTTTTTTGAAAATAAGATGAGGAGGACATAAATCAAGTCTAGAAGAAAAAAAAGGGTTTGGTCTTTGCATGAATCAATTTTTTTTTTAATCGTCTAAATGCAAATTATGGAAATAATTACAAGGATAATATTTAACAGATATATTAATTATTCTATAAAGATCCACCATAGATATGTGGATCCACCATGAATAACTTCAACTGTCTATCATTTCCTTATCTGAATATCTCCATTAACCGCAGAAATCACATTTTCTGGGAATCCAAACTCATACCTCCTAATGTAGAAATATTAAAAAACATTTAATCGACCATTAGACTAAGGAGCTTCCACTGCATGCATCAATCTTCATTATACTTTTTTTTTTCAAACACTAAAAGAAAAACCATTAACCAAACTTTCGATTATGTAAAAGTTTTCAAACTAGTTCAAACTAGATAAGCCATTTATGGAAGTTAATGACCAATGAGGTCGTAATCTCTTGTAAACTGCCAAAAAAGTTTTAAGGCCTTTTAAATGGGAACAAAGAAACTTTAAACCTCTTTTGAAGTTTCTACTCTCATCTCATCACGCGGTTGCGTTAATAACTTAATACACGGTACTCCACCTGCTCTTCAAATGTGTTTATATAGCTTTCCACACCACATTAAGGTGAATATCTGGTTTTTGTTGTCTTTAACTACACTTCCTATCTCTATTGCCTCTAATGGCTCTTCATGCTTCTTCTTCTTCTTCGTCATCTTGCAGCTGGAGATTCAATGTCTTCCCGAGCTTCCACGGGCCAGACGTCCGTGTAACATTTCTAAGTCACTTACGCAAACAGTTTGAACGCAATGGAATCATAATGTTCAATGATCAAGAGATCGAGAGAAGCCAAACGATCAAACCTGAACTCAGTCAGGCAATTCAAGAATCAAGAATCTTAATCGTGGTGCTTTCACAGAACTATGCTTCTTCAGGTTGGTGCTTGAACGAGCTGGTGGAGATACTGAAGTGCAAGGAAACGGCGGGACATATTGTGATGACGGTTTTCTACAAAGTGGATCCATCTGATGTGAGGAAACAGACGGGAGAATTCGGGAAGGCTTTCAAGGAAACTTGCATAGGGAAACTGGAGATGGAGATTCAGAGCTGGGCTCAAGCTTTGACTCATGTCGCCAACATAGAAGGAGAACACACTTTGAACTGGTTAGATGCTTGTGAATATTGCTATAATACTTATAAGGCATCAGTTCAGCACTGGCCTCGTCTTCGATCTCTCGAACTAAGCTGCAATGGAAAGCTCAAGAGATTGACCAATGTTCCCGAAAGCGTGACTCATCTCGACCTAAGCTATAGCGGAATCGAGAAGATCTCAGATTGCATCAAAGGACTGCAAAATCTCAATCTTTCTGGCTGCAGAAACCTCAAGTCTTTGCCAGAGCTTCCTGCTCTGCTCATGTTCCTATCTGCGAACGACTGTGATTCACTAAAGCACGTTCTTGGCCCATTCCACAGTCCTAATGCGCATCTCAATTTCACACACTGCTTCAGATTGAGTCAACAAGCACGACGAGCGATTATCCAACAATCGTTTCTCAACGGGTGGGCTCTGTTACCAGGAAGAGAAGTACCTTCAGAGTTCGATCACCGAGCCAGAGGAAACTCCTTGACGATTATTCATCATTCTGGTTTCGCCGGATTTAAGGTTTGCCTCGTGATTTCGCCTAATCAACAAATCAGAGATTACAGAGTTTCGCAGATACTGTGTCTTCGCATAGTCAAAGGAGACTTAGGAACCTCCATTGACGACGCCATCAAAGTGTATCGTATCCCCAGATTTCGAACGGAGCATCTGTTTGTCTTTCACTCTGATTGTGTTTTAGAAGACAAAAGCATCAGCGAGATAGTTTTCGAATTCAGCAGCAAACTACACGACTTCGAGATTATCGAATGTGGTGTTCAGATCTGGACCGATGAAATCGAAAGGAGGAGCTATGAGTTTGAATCCAGCGATTCGTTCAGAAACGACTCGGAAGACGGTGACCGTACAGATGGACTAATCCACGACTCGAAAGAAAATGAGAATGTCGAATCCGAGAAACGTACAGGTTGTTGGAGTTGGCTCATCATCCTCTCCTTCAATCTCTCCGATATGGTGAAAAGCATTGCAAGCTTTGGTTTGGGGAAGAAGACGATAGAAGCCATGCGAAAATAATGACGTGGCAGTATCCTAATTTATGTGGGCTGAGATATTAATGGGCCATAAATTGGCCCTATGTGTTGAAATTTTTCTTACCGCGTTTTTTGACTTTTCAATAATAGAAGTCAATAAATCTACAGTACAGACTAACAATGAAAAGTTAAAAAAGTTTAGGTTTAGGCCAATGACGGGACGGGACGTGATGTGAAATATTTTGTCTTTTCATGCATTATTAATTCTTCCACTATAACGCGTTTGAACGGTTACAGAAGGACCCATTTGTTACTTTTGCTTTTATATATTTTACAAACTTCACGGTATTTTACTTATCTTCTTCTTCTCAATATTCCCATTTTCCATCTCAGTGAGCATGTCTCTCATGGCTTCTCCTTCCTCTTTTCCCTCTCGCAACTACAAATTCAATGTCTTCTCGAGCTTTCACGGGCCTGACGTTCGTAGAACACTTCTAAGTCACATCCGCGAACAGTTTAAACGCAGCGGGATCACTATGTTCGATGATAACAAGATTGAGAGAAGCGCAACGATCGCCCCTTCACTCAAAGAAGCTATAGAAGAATCGAGGATCTCGATAGTGATTCTCTCCAAGAGATATGCTTCTTCAAGCTGGTGTTTGGATGAACTGGTGGAGATATTGAGGTGCAAGGAAACCATGGGGCAGATAGTGATGACCATCTTCTATGGAGTGGAACCTTCCGATGTACGGAAACAGACCGGAGAATTCGGTATCGCTTTCAGTGAAACCTGTGCTCGTAAGACGGACATGGAAAGGCAGAAATGGAGCAAAGCTTTGAACTATGTGGGAAACATTGCTGGAGAAGACTTCGTAACATGGTTGGTCTTTAACTAATCTAAGCCTTTATATATCTCTTATGTTTTATTTAAGTTGTAGTAATAAAGTAGGAGGATTAACGGTGATTGGAATTTAAAAGATCAAGGGAATGTTTTTGTGAGATATAATATTAGAAATACATGTCATCAAGAATGATTAGGAA